ACCCCACCAATCATGCCATTTTGGTCGCTCCATTTATAAAGTCGTGGGTGCCCAACCAGTCTTAACTCAGCATTATGCATTATGTGCGGCCCGACAATCATATTATCATAAGGCGCCCAACCAATCATGTCATTATTGGCGCCCCTCTAGAATAATTAATGGTGTGATTCATTATGAGGTGCCTGACCATTTGGGGGTCGCCTCATATAAAATATGTTTGATGAGGCTCTCATAAAACCAAGTGACATTGGTTGGACGCTCTGCCAAATTTGCCCACACTGATATGGGCACATTGATCGTTGTATCGTATTGCATTTGATTTGTGTTTTGTTAAATCATTGCAAATATATCAGTTACCAATTGATATGATGAAATCCTACAATCTCTCAGGAATTTACATTTATGAGGTGGTGAAAACAATTTGTCATTTAGACTTTAATTGGAAGTAATGTATTGGAGTGAAATTTTCATTTGTCAATTTTCTGTCTAGACTGAACCATCAACACCTTAATAAAATAATAAATTATTGTAACCCACGATTCTTAAAGGGACATATTCCAACAAGGTTTCGTCCATAATATTTTGAAAATATTTTTTAGGTCTTCTCGGTAGACAGTTTGTCAAAATTAAAGTTTATTTTTTTAATCATTGCTTTCAACATTTATTATAATAAAAAAAAAAGTACAATGTTCTCACTATTGTTTATTTGGTGTTCATTGACCTTGATTCCTAATGAAATGAAAAAAAGGCAGTTCTACTAGAATCCATCTGCATGTTTCATCCTTGCTGCCCCATGAAAACAAGTTTGTTATTGTAGCAAACATCATTACACCCACCCTGGTCTACAACTAAAGGGAGATAAACATGGTTTAATGATATAATTAGTGCTAATAATAAGATATTATGCCACACAAGTGTACAAAAGGTAGAACTTAATTTTCTGGCCAATTTGATTTTCCGTCTGGTATGGTTAAAGTCAAGAGTTTAAGCCTGTAGACTTGTAATGTCTTTGTTGGCAAATTGTCAAACCATTATTCACTGTTCCAGACAACAGGTTTCTCCTGCTAGGGGGCACTGTGACATCTTCCTATTTGCTTACATTCAATGGCCATAATCATTAACGGACGCACTTTTTTTCCCCCCAGCAATTCTTCGAAATTTGTCGAAATTCTATGTCATTCGCTTACCCACTTCTGTTTATACTTTTTCTGTGCAATGCAGGAATACACTAACCAGCTCTATGCCGTCGTATGTTGAACAGGCCGACGCTCTAGAAAATCGCCAGTGATTAGTATCTTGTAAAACACGACATCCATGGTGGAATTTAATTTGTGTGATTTTCCATTATAATTCATTTTATCCATTCAACTCGACTTAATGTCAATTTGCCATGTTTCTTTGGTAAAAATGAAATGTAACAATGTTTCAGTTGTTGACCAAAACATTTTGCTATCAAGCTTGTCTGCTGAAATCGTTTATCTAGAAAAAACATCAGAATACTGTTGAGAAACTTTTCATTGAGGACATCCACACTGGAGTTAAACCATGTCTATCATCCTTACAGGAATATAATAATAAGACTACCGGTAGTAAATTATCTAATATTTTCTTGTGTAATGTATTGTTTCAGCTATAACTGTAGTGCACACTACCTTGACTTAACTTACCTCAGTATAGTAAGTCCAGACCAACCGCTTGCTTCGATTGATTTTAAATTTGTCAGGTCATTTTGATATATCTTTAATGGGATTATTTCCGATAAGTTTTAATTCCCATTAGGTGCTATACAGCGTGCAGAACGGAAAAAAATGTCTACTGCAGAGCGCTTCTACATTTAATTTTTAGGAAATTCTGGTGTTCTTGTCTGTGAATATGCTTAGATCAACCCACACAATGGATTTAAATATAAATATAATTATGCTAATGTAAGACCGTCTGCAAATTTTATCTCTGTTCGAAGTACAGTTTCCGGAATACCTTGGCTCAGCTCAGACAGGAGTGAGATTGTTTATTCCAGTGAAAAGTTCCATTAATACTGTCAGTCATAGCTTGTTGCGAAGTTGATTATGGAGATGATATATTTGAAGAATATGTACGTGTATGTTGGGAAATGTGAAAATATCTTGCAGATTGATAAATCTTAATTCAGCTTCCAAAATTTGGATTGGCGGAATATCTTTTTTTTTTGTGAAATATTTATATCTGTATTTATTTAACAGTTCAAAGTAAGTTTTCTTAAATTACATGTTCTTAAAAAAAAAAAAAAAAAAAGGAATCAATTTGTGTTGTCTCGAGATTGCAAGCTTGTACAAATTTAATAGGCAAGGTATTCTTGGCATATAGACCATAAACTGTTGGGCATTATTTTTTTTTATTCACTTAAATTTATATTTAATTTTATTCGTGTGTAGCACCATCAACTTTCTTTTAGCATACTGTGTTAATGAAAAATTGATCGATGTTTCAGCAAGAGTTCAGAATTTCTGTGAAGATCTAGAGAAGTGAACATAAAAAAATGTTGTGGTATTTACTAAAAAAAGCAATTTCTGCTCTATGGTCAAAATTAGGGAGGTTTTTGTGGTGTTCAAATTGTTGAAATTTACTTCATTAAGAGAATAATTAATTTTCTGTACAATACATGAGATTAGAAGACCTGTCAAAACATCATTCTGAGATTGGTTTTGTCGAAAACTATTTGAAAAAATAACTGTAAATTTAAGCATTTGCAGAACAGTTATTGTTTGGCTGCAGGTCTGTAAAAGTTAAAGTAAGATTATAATAGACCAGTAGCTGATCTATTTGAGATTTATCGGAAGTAGCAATTGGCTGTGAACTGATTATTTCATTGCCAAATTATGTATGTCTATGATTCACTGTAGAGGAATGCTGCCTATAGAGTATAACATGTCAATTATTTATTCTAACTAGCTTTTACATACTGACTTGACATATATATATGTATAGGAATTTATAGTATTTTAATCATTGAAAATACCTGGCTAAATAGAATGACAATTATTAATTGTTAACACAATCAGATACATGTAGTAGAGTATTGTTTATTGTGGCAGCAACTTGTATACTGGTATTCCCCCATTAAACATACATTATGCAAGAGCTAAATCTGCCTATTGCAGGTCTTTCTTTAGGGTGAAATGTTATCTTAATTATTGACATTAATTAACTTATCCAGACCATAATCAACTCTTGAGGGCATTAGGACCCGATCTGCTGCTCTGCGCTCATTCATGGTTAAATCAAAAAACAGATTATCGAGACTGTATTTTATCGTACCGACTTTAGTAATGATGATCGAGGCTAGGCCGACAATTCAATTGCTAAAATCTTGGTTCAGAATGGATCAATTTGACTGAAATCTTCAGCAAAATCCATTTATCTACTTTTTAACTATTATACTTATAGTGGGAACTGCCAGCTCTTTATCTAATCTCCCACAATGTATCTTGAAAAGTAGGATTTATAGTGTATTTACATATTCATTCCTTGCCTTACTGTTTGTGTATTCATTTGTCTATAAGTGAATAAAATATAATAGAATGCATTGATGAATTGAGAGGTGTGGAATGATGAATTTTTTTTGTTCCTAGCCTGGTTATCCACATAGCAAAAATGCTACAAATATTTGTTATTCATGTAAATTCCTTGGCTTGTTGAACAGACAAAAATAGGTAGATTTTTTGAATGCATAATAAATGTTACATTGTTAAACTGATGGAGAGTGACATCTTAACACTAGTTCACCATATTCAGACTAACACATAGGGTCATTTATTTACCACAGTATTCAGGGTTTAAGTTGGTTTCCTTCAGGTTCATATTGAATTAAAAATTACATGTAGCAAGTCAGACCTTAGATCATACAACTTTCTCAGACATGGCTAAGGATTCACCCTAATTTTAATAATGGGGACACTGGCTTGTCTGCTCAAATGATTAGTGTGTGTGAAGTAGGGGTTCATGTAAACACTGCTCTTGGGTTCTGTTGCTGCATTCATGTGAGAACCTTATATTTTTTTTACACTGACAAACTTCGTAATGGCGACAACCATTTCAATAGAAGGCTTGATCTCGTTTGAACTCTGTACATCTTATCAGGCCTTCACGTAATACTAATCATTTTCGCCACTAATTTCATTGGTCATTGGCCCAGCTCCTGCTCTCTCAGATTCCCTACAATCTCCAACTGAAATGTCTAGCTGTGATAATCGAGTTGCTAAGTTCAATGTCCAGGTTTCTGGAAATCTTTCACTAAGATTATGCTATGACCCACTTCACATCTTAGTCCAAACCTTTGTAAATTACTTTTCGGTTCTTCCATTAGATGACATAAAAAAGAATTAGTTTGTGATCGTCCACGCCTACTCAGACAGTTCCATCTGATCGGTATTTTTTTAAAAAATTATTTTAAAAATTTAACCACTTAAATGGTTAAAACCAATAGTAAAAGTGCCTAAATGTAGCTAGGTCAGCAATTCCTAAGCTATTGGGATCCATGGAGCCATCCTGGACATTCTGTAAACAATGTCATGGTAAAAGTGTTCCGTAAAATCTGATTGAAGATCTAAAGTTTAAATGATTAATCTGAACAATTCAATTGACGATCAGCAGCTCTATTCCTGAAGTATTGCGAGTTGTGTATATTGATTTAAAAAAACCCAACAAAACACACACCTCCCTCCCACATTTTCGGAAAAAAGGACGATTGCCAACTATTTTTTTAAGTGGCCTGTCTTTGGTTTTGGTTTTCCGTTTTCGATGGCTATATACGAATCTATCCTTTGTGTTTGTATCGCGTGTCTATGGTAAAGGGAGATAAAAGGTTGGAAATTTCAAACTAATCTAGCAACGACTAGATGTTGTATAACCTGCAGTCGTTGCAACAATGACTCTGACCTGTCTTTGCAGTGAGGTTTATTGCAGTGTGATTGGAGAAGTCTCTTGTTTATAACAGTTTAATGATAATGTTAATTATATTTTAGGTATGTGGAGGAACATGTTCAGAGAACTGGTGTTGCCATAGAAACACAAGGCTTTACTTTTGTAACAAGTGGAAGAAAACGGGAATCTTTAACAGTAAGTTCACACAAATGACTTCACAATGGTCATTGTACCATATATCTAGTCCGTCCTTTTATGGACATTCTCCGGACATATTTGTGTTTCGTAAAGATATCGCGAACATTGTCTAATCCACTCAATATCAAAGCCATCCAGTGGTTTTAAGGTTGATCATGGGCTCTTGTGACTAAATGTCTTAACCAACAAGTTGTATAACATTTGAAAAACCAAAAACGGCAATAGTCAAGTTTAGCTTTCGCATAATACCTCTTCATTAATGAAACATTTCACATTCTGTATTGTTGACTGCATCCCTAATAATTTTGCTGCAATCAGTATCTAATGTCAACCAAGTGAATAACTGTAGTAAATCATGCTGATGTATAATTTTATTTTGTGTTGGTGGAGTGGGAGTATGACAATAGATAAAATAGAATATTGATGTTAAGTACTAGACCACATGTTGTCTCTAACTAATCAATATTCTTTATTTAGATATATCTACTGTCAACTTTAATAATTAGTTCTGAAATGATATAGTTTGTGTTCAACCCCAGGTCTCTTTTTATTCTTTATGTACAGTACAAGTCAAGATTAAGTACGAAATTCCCCCAACATCCAATGAAAAACCGTGGGCGTCAGTTAATCAATCCGCTCTGCCCATGCTCTAAATTTCTTCTGCGAATTTTAATAAACCGCCGACCATCTCGATTTTTTTAAAACCGCTACGGAAATTAACATAACAGATCCACTGCGAAATTCAAAAAATCAGACTTTTCACGTACGTACTTTCAATACATACATATCTTGTGTGAAATAGGTTTATTTATTGTGCGATTGCACCGCAGTGATAACCGTACTCAAATATCAGCTAATACGGCGTGCAAAAATAGATTGCCAATTTAACAGGGTTAGACACCCAGGTTTTACAGGCTTATAATCAAGGCTACCGACAACCAGCATCGCAGCACAAATTGCATTATATATTTTATCCACATTTTGAATACTAGATGGCTTTCTTAACACTTTCAACATGTCAAATAATTCTCTGTGTGACATTTTCTTTTCGAACTACCCAGATACAATTCATAATACTATATAATACAGGGACATAACTCTATGAATAGGGAGTATTAAAGGACAATATTGGTGTCCAATCATTATCCATGATTAACACAGATTATTGCTACGATAGATGCGTTATGAAGATTTCAAGAAAGGGAAGTGATGAACGCAAAAGGAATACACAAGTTATCCTTCTATATAACTGACTGAGGTGAGGAGTGATAAAAGATACACAAGCGAATTTCTGCTCACTAATAATTGCTTTGAAGACCAAAAGTTATGTGAGGCTGTGAGAGGATATCTGATAATTCAAAAAAGTAATTGAACATCACTAGATAAGGGAAAACGAGAAAAATAGAAATAGTTTGTACATTCCCTTGTTTTTATTCATTCTATACTTAATAAAAACATGGTAATGCACGTTCTCGTTTTCTCTTATCTAGTGACAGTCAATTATTTTTTTTGAATTCTCAGATATCCTCCCACAGTCTCATATAACAACTTTTGGTCTTTGATGTACAATTTTCCCTGTACTCTTTGATGTACATAGTTTTTCCAAACTAATTGTTGGCTGAATAACTCAATGTGACTATTAGTATTAATAATCTAATTTGCGAATAAGATTCAATTCATAAAGTTTGGTTGTTAGGTGTTTTATTGAAAGTTTCTCCGATATGTTCATGGAAAAAATGAAAATTGAATATTTGTTTCTGTTATAGTTATTGGAATCCGAACCGGATCATTATTTAGGATATTTATCCTCTACTGTATAAATACGGTAAGCAGTCTGTGTGTTGCATAATAACTTAAAGTATAAAAAAAATATGTAAAGGGGCTATTTAAAACTTTTATTTAGCCAGAAACCGGTAACTGAAACGATTTGACATGTTGATCTGGTTTGCAATGTGGGAAATGGGGAATCTGTATCTTAAAACCAAATATGAAACTAAAATAAGTAACCAATCTTACAGCTTCTATATAATCTTTCTACATGTACATGACATTTAATTTTATACATTGAACGTTCGTTGCTGAATCATTTCATTTGAGACACTGTTTATCTAAATATCGGGGATATACCTTCCTAGCAATTGATGCTGCTTCTTTATTTTCTATGTATATGGTTAAATTCTTGTTCATACTAAAACTGATAAATCAGTACATGAAAAGTCTCCTGCATCTTTTACGACATCCACATGCAAATTGCTGCTTTCTAAATATGTTTATTGTCATCCGTTTTCAGACAATGTTATTAGAATTCACATTACATGGTTTCATTGTCTGCTTGTCGGATTAACCAATGACGTTGAAAATTGCTATGTGTATATGCTTTTTGGTATGATTCACAAATCAAATACCGATGTACATTATGAATAAATCATTACAGATATTTTAGGAAATGAATATAATACATTTGTAGACTTAGTTAATTTTCAAAACGCAATTTGAAAAGGGTATTATGGATATATGAATTACCTGGGCACTAAAAATGACTAGTATACTCATGATATTGTTCCATTAAATATTTGTTTATTTCTAATAATGCTGTGACAATATGGACTAAATTACCCTGGCTGTTTTGAATTACTGTGGACCATAATCCGCCGCAAATTTGATATTTCTACCGACTATAATCCGCAGCGAATTTTATATATTTGCGGAGAATAATCAACCGTGAATTTTATATTTTCGCCGACTTTTTTCTTCCCAGAACGTCTCAATTTCTGCCGAGTGTATATGGTAAAAACACTGCGATTTTTGAGTGGAAAAAAACCCACAAGGACTAATTTCATACTTCCCAGAACGTCTCAATTTCTGCTGAGTGTATATGGGAAAAACACTGCGATTTTTGAGCGGAAAAAGACCCACAAGGACTAATTTCATACTTCCATTTGAAGCTTATTGTATGTTAAACAGGTAATTTACGGGGGGATACAGAATATGTTATATTGTGCCCAATGCAGAGATCTTACTAATAAAGAGATTTAAGATTCTTGTGACAGTTTGGTGTAGAAAGATTAATTAAATAAGTTGTGGGAAATATTTTAGCCAGACCATTAATATGCCAAGTGACATTGTCAGATCCAAATTCCTTCTCAAAATGGACAATTTTCAGTTGTCGGAATGTTTATTAGATATTAACCTATTTTGAAATTAAGGAACCTTCTTTAAAGCACTAACCCATGTCAATTTGTCCTCTTGTTTGAAACCATACATGTTGAACTTGGGCTACACAAATACAGGAAAACCACATCCTAGTTACTGGACAAACATGTCAATACTTAGCATTCCTTTGACAAGCAATCATTCATTGCAATTTCAATTTGAATAGGTAACAAATATTTCAGACTGCAATGCATTGCCTCTTGTTTTGACTTTATACTTACTAACATTACTGTGTATATATCACTTCAGGAATAGTCTTTACTATCAGGTGACTGAATTTTCCAATATGTTCATAAATCACTGTATTCATAAACAAAGGACTATAAAAGTGCTAGGGTAGTCTGGGTCCTTAATCAGCTATTTATGATTATTAGAAGTGTTGTTTCCTTAAGTAATCTTACAAATATTCATATCCACATCTATGGTGATAGATAACTCTTTATTATTGAACTTAAATTGAGTGATTATTAAACTCACCAATTTATTTTCCTTGAAATCATAGATATTAGTTAACATTGATCTCACTAATTGGTTATCGTCGCCCTCGGTAATTGATTATCATCAAACTTGTGAAGTGATTGAACTCACATTTATATGGAAATGTTCAGATATGGTAAGCAACTCAATACTTTGGATATTAATTCACTTATTTGTTGACATTTTGGTATATAAATCTCTAATTATCCTTATTGTTTGGAAATCACTACAGCTTTAGATTGTTAATGAACTACTTGTTAATTTGTTCTCAATGAAATGATTAATTGTACCGTACGTGATTATTGAACTCGCTATATGTTATCAATGAAATTATCGATTCATTATTGAACGTGAAAAAGTAGACATTGGGTGATTTATATAATTGTCCAGTTTATGATCAATGGAATCTCGTAAATTAGTGATGGTGTGTATGACCGTGGTCAAGATGGTGGAAGTATCCCTTTAAATCTACAAGTTATGTAGTTCCAATAAGCTAATTAGGACCTAATAGTAAACTCTTTCACAGACATTAGAAACGTTGAATCAACGTCATTTTAACATTTACTTTATATGGTGGTAGACATTTTAAAGGCATGCAGATTATTAATGTGATCTAAGTAGAGCTACAGCCCAGACGAAATCAATAGTACAGATCTGTAAAATTTGTCTTGCCACACTGTTATGTAAAGTTCATGTTGCACTGTTGTATTGTCGGAGATGGACAAGTTTATTGATTGTGAAGAGTATTATTAAATATTAAAATCATGTGTCTACTTCTTATTTCAAATATCGAAGAAGACTATTTGAATGGACACCTGAAGGCCATGGAGTTTAGACCCATGTAATAAGCTATAAATCCCATCGGATGCACATCAGACCATAATATTAATTATTTGACATTTTGTACTCCAGACCGCGTGACATTAGGAAATGAAATGAACTGAAATAGGGTTTAACATCCTACTGTTCTGCTCCTATACTGGGATTATGAAGATGGGTATATGCCATACAGTGTGCTATGAAGGAAATTTTGCCCGTACAGCGGCACTGTGGCTTACTCTTACATCGAATTCTAAATGCCAAGGGATCTTTTACGTGCATGCCAATGTATACAAAGGACCTTGTTTTTTGTCCCATCCAAATGACTATACAGCTGTTCTTGTCAGTCCCTCTGTCCTGCACCACTGACAAGGGGAAACCACGTTGGAAAATGCAGGGATTGTGACATTAGGATTGGTAACAGTCGTAATATACATTTAGAATAACGTCATCGTACAAATATTCTGAAATATGACCAAATTTTAACATCTTGACATGACGAACAAACTCATTTTGATTGTCCCCTGCTTCTTTTAAAAAGCTCAGTTTACTACATGTAAGTATGTGGGCTATTTGATGTTCGGGTACATGTACTGTGAAGAGGTTGGTGTCTTGAAATGGTTTAGTTTTGTAAAATCGACTAAATTGATGTGGTTTGTTATCTGAAAAATTGAATATCCAATGTAATATCACCTTGCCTCCAAAAAGAGTTCTGATGTGTATATTCCTGTTGATTGTAATAGGACCTACCTGGGTATATTCCTGCGCAGTGACTGTAATAGGACCTACCTTACAATACTGTTAACAAAGTTTATTTATAATCCTGACATTTGTACACACCGTTAAAGTAAACTTGTTAATTTCTTTTGGATTCAGTTGTTCTGTTTTGTAGTAACTGCTTACTGCCCCCCCCCCCCCTTTTTTTAAGACTAAGTCTGGGAGATCATTACGTTGAATACAGTGACACATAGAGTTGTCTCAGTCGGAATTCATTGAACAGCCTAATTAGATAGTGAATAGCTTTCAATATTTTCTATTGGTTGAATGGATGTATGCTCATGAGATTGAATATACTAATGGCAACATGTATGTTGGCTCTTAGTTCTGATCCTACAAATCAAAGACGGTATCATGTCTGTGTCTTTGATTCCTGGAATAATCATTGTACTGATGTTGATTTAGTTGTTTTCAACATGCATGCTCCCGCTATCTGTCTGTGGTCATTCTGTTTATAGATACTGACCTGTACTGTCTGGTCACTTTGCCTTCGATTATGGTCCATGTCTGGTCAGTATTGTTAAAGGAAAATGCCTCCGGGAATGACATTCCTTGTTAAGAGTTGACCATTTTATTATAATATTTATGAAAGAAATTGATTTTGTTAGGGAATGTCTGAAGTCTAAATTTCTATGAATAATTCCTGTTATGAAAGGTACACCGAGACGGTTGTGATGTATTACATTTATGGTTTGTCTTGGATTTTACATGCACATGTACTGGGTAGTATTTTGTTTTAGACCTAATAAGAATCTACTAGGATTTTCTTCGATGCAGTCCTTTTGGAGAAACATACTTGATAAGATGGCAGTTTCAAGGAAATTGGTTGTAGTATACACTGTATGTATAACAAATTTCATTAATCATTATATAATAATGATAATGGTGATAGAATTTTAAAAAAGATAGCAGGAAGGAAGTAAGTTTTAAAAAAAAAAAAAGTTTTTTTTTTTTTTTACTAAAAGAAAAGAAAAAGACAAGCATACTTGTAATTCTAAAATAGCATTAATCTGTAATAAGAAGTAGATTGGAGTAATAAAACTGTTAGATAGATTTATTAATCACCAAATTAGGCCAAAGCAAACACCAAATTAGTCCAAAGCAAATTGAATTTTTGTTCAATGGGAACAACTATTAAAAGTCCTGATGTACCACTTTAAGCAATTTGGATCACTTGCAAACTACTATATTGTGATGGGAATATCGGTCAAATAATGCTTCATTTCCATTCAGTATTTACAAAGATATGTGGAATTGAAATTTCAACAATCTATGCAGCTCACTATGCAGTAAGCCCACCACGATTTTGTTATACATGAAAATTTAAAGGAGAATACTATCGCAAAAAATAGTTTCAATATGAAAAAATAACGTTAATATAAGAATATTTTTAGCCCTGCGAAATTTTAAAAGTCGATCTGAATATTTTTTCGGAAATCGGAAAGTGTTTTTTTAATGTTATTTGTTACTAAAACTTTTTTTAAAAAAATAATTCTAAAATCAGTTACACAATGAACTCTAGCATCTCCTTTAAATATAGGCCTGTTAAAAATCTGATGGAATCTTAAGTCAGGACATTGTCTAGCGTTAGTATTTTTGTTTTGTTTTCTTGAATGTTAAATAATCTGAGTACATAGTGTGTGGATTAAGCCGTGAGAAATTTGATATTTTAGCGACAATTGCCAAAACTGCATCGTTACTTTTAAATTATGTTTCATATTTACATTGGGAACAAATATATTAAAAATATTTTGGGTTGTTTTCAAAAACATTTAATTCAAATTTATTAAGACCCCAGAAGAACTTATGATTAAATTTATTTGGCCTTAATTGACAGGACTTGTCAAGTCTGTACTAAAGGAGGAAATGAAAAGCAAAAAGTGCAACAAAGAATAAACTTGGAGGAAAAGATAAAACACTGAACTTAGATAACCCCTAAGTAAAAGTAATATCGGACATGTAGTGGTAAGAATGTGATGACTAAGTCTTTTAACAAGTCACTTAGTTTTGTCATTCAGTTGGACATTATTTTAGTTAAGATTTCTACATTGTTTGGAGTTCTGAGAGAATTAGATATAGTTTTACTGAATGGTTAATATGGAGTTATAAAGGCTTAATTATTCTATCTTTTCAGTTATTGAAGTTTAAAAACTGAAACAATGTGGTGGTTTCTGGTGTTTGTGTTAAAAATATTAAATGAGTTGTGTGGGATGTGCAATATCTTTGGCAATGTGAAAAGAAAAATTTTGATGGCTGATTAGCGCTGTAAATCTATTTGTTGATCTTTGAACATTTCTCTGCATTTGTAGGTCGTCCTTTTGAACAGCTCTGAAAAGGGATGAAAAATGAATAATAATAATAAATAAAAATTTCAAGTTTATTTACATAATTGGGAAATATTCACTGTATTTTGAAATTTACAAATGCACATTTTTTTTTATATAGGGTTGTCCATAGAAATAGAATTAACCCATATTATGAATCTGGTTTGAGGGATAAAATAAGATTTGTGGGTAGGGAAATTTCTGGATGTAGGCCTACAGTGTTTCAGCCAGAAAGACCAGTCAACCGCCAGTTGACTATTTAATTTAACGACTGAAAATGTTATTTGTCGGAATTACCGAGGAGCCTTACTTCGAAAAAATTTATGCTGAGCATGCATTGCTTCAATGTTTGTTTGAGGCCCCGACTGTCTTGCCATATCAGACATCACCGTAGGTTGATACCCCTATGTATTCCAATTGTCGGCCCCTTAGGCAAACACCCATGTATTTTGTAGGGCAATGCTAATGGAAAAAATAAAAGATGCTGTAATTTTATTTTTGAGTCAATGTTTTATTGAGCATCTGTTAAAGTTGCAGGACTACCTTTTAAATTGTATGTTTCTATAACAAATGACAAAATTTGAAGGAAATTCGTAGTAAGACACTGACTAAATACTTGATTTTTGGCAAATTGTTTTGGCGATAGACCTGTTATTAATATTAATTGAAAATTTGTATTAATTGAATTGTATGCTGCATCATTACATAAAGTTGTTGAGACAGTCATTGTGATTTTTGCAATGCACAAATTCATACGTTCAATTTTTCTGCTGGTTTTTCGATTTTTTTCACATGGAAAACCTAATAAAATATTTGATCTCAAATGACAATGTGTATGGAAATAGCTGCTAGAATAAAGAAAAAATAGAATCAAAATACTGCCATAAACAGTATAATTACTTGATATAGTGTAGCAATCACTCTGCCATGGTTTAATAAGAGTTGAATGACGCAAATACTAACTTCAGCTTGTAGTCTGTTACTGGCTTGCACATAGTCTATTACTGTGTACAGAACTCGTCCAATTAAAATAAATGTAGCCCTTGGGGTGTCAGTAACGGCAAAAAATTACGTACTGCTAATGGTCTCGTTTATGTACACTATATTGCATGATTTGACACCAAATGAAATATTCTGATGTACATAGCCTTTTTTTTTTACTTTTTTTTTCAGGGAAATGCAACTCTTCATTTATATCCTCATTTTGAGCCGTTAAGACAGATTGATGGTAAGTATTTTCTTTATATTCTTCACATTATTATTAGGAGCCACGGTTAAGTGAGTGAGACGCTGGCTCGCTAGCCTGGAGGCCGTGGGTTGGCCAAGAACGTTCATCAGGATTTTCCAGCGTGGTTTCCGCTTGTCAGTGGTGCGAGACGGGAGGCCTGACAAGGACAGCTGTCTAGTCATTCGGATGAGACGAGAGACCGAGGTCCTGTGTACACATTGGGATACACGTAAAGATCCCTTGGTAGTTGAAGTTTGACGCAAAATTTCCCTCATAGCACACTGCATGGCGTATGTCCGTCTTTATTAGCCCAGTCAGGAGCAGAACAGTAGGACGTTAAACTCAATTTCATTTCACATTATCATTGGTGAGGGTTGGGTGGCTATATGGTCTAATGCAGTGGTTCTCAACCTTTTTTTGGCAACGGCACACCTTGGAACACATGAAAAAATAGCGGCACACCTGTAGACACCAGTGAATACTCAGTTGGGATCACATCAACACTGGTTGAGAATCACTGGTCTAATGTGTGCACTTTCGATCATACGGTTTGTCATTCAGTCAACTGGCATGGTTTTGGTTCCCTGCTTGTACTTGTACTGGTTTGCCTGTTGTAGCTCATGGGTTTTCTCTGGTTTCCTCCCATAGCCACCTACCCCTACTCCCAAGTAAATTATTGAAATGAATTGAATCATATAATTGTTAATCCCGAAATGATCTTGTTTGTGCCGAGTGAACGTAAAACCCATTTCTCTCTCTGTATAAGTTTTTAGTGACAAGAACAGCCAATAGCATGCAAGAATATAGTCTGTTGTGAAACAGAGAGCCCTTTTGCAAGTCAAAGCTTGATATGTTGGAATGCTTTTGATTGAACTAACTTTTGAATCTATAATCTATTTGAATCAGCTGGCACACATGGGAAAACATTTAATGTAAGAATGGGGTCTTTTTCAATAAAGTGATATTTGCCATATGTGTTTTGGCTTTTTCTGTAGCTTCACAAATTCATTTCTGCCTTTCTTGTGATAGATTTAGATTAATGTTCTTTATGTTAATAGTAATTAATTAGTATTGGAAAATAATTTTTGAAATCTAAAATAGTTCCTGCTAGTCGTGTGGCGGCAAGACAAATTCAACTGAACTTACGGCTCTTCTTCCGGTAGACTTGTATTAACATATCAAGCTGCCTGATGAAGAGCTGTACAGTCTGGTGGAAGTCACATCTGGTCTGCCTCTGAGCCTAAAGAATAAGTTATTAATATTAATGAGTTTAATGATGGGGAATTATAATTGTTTCTTTATTGTGGGTTAGATATTGACGTGGCCCAGTCTTTTCTTTGGCCATGATTTTTACCCCCATTCCCCAAACCAGTGGTAAGTGTACTTATAAAGTTTTTATGCGAGGTCCTACCTTGTAATTTATATAATACATCAGTTATTTTTTTTCCACGGTGTGGGGGATGGAGAGGGGTTGAATAGCCGAATGGTTAGTGCATGCACGTTATAAGGTCAGTCATAGAGTCAACTGGCGTGGTAGTTTATGTCGAGTGGACATTAAACCCCAATTCTCTCTTTTTTTTTTCTTTCTTTTCAGGGAATCCATTAAACTGTCAATTTAATTTGTCTGGACACTTTATTTCCACTTTTTACTCTTGTATTCTGACTTAACTGGGAGCCACAGTGTTTCAGTGAGTAAGATGCTGGCTACCTAACCAGGACGTCTCGGGTTCACTCTGTGTATTGGCCGAGAAAATTCTATGGATTTTCCGGCATGGTTTCTCCTTGTCAGTGGTTGAGGACAAATTTCAACAAATCATTAATTCTTAGAAAGTAGCGATGGATATCATTTTCCTGTTTAAGTAACTAAAACTGACTTCTGTACTGTATGTCATAGATATCTAAGTTGTATGTAATACAAGAGAACACTGTTCAATATTATAATATCTTGGCAATTTGGAAACCAGTCTAAAGAATTATGTAACGATTTTAGTGAAATAAATCAATATAATTTTCTTTATGTTGATATTTTTGTCTATCTCCAGCCCACTTGATGTAAAACTTTAGTTCATGTGGCTCCTGAATCGAAATGACTTTAACACCCCTGGTCTAGACGTTCGAATGTTATGGAAAATCATGGACCTGTGTACAAATTGGCGTGCCCTTAAAAGAAATCTGGATTGTACTGTATTTGATCTATACTAGGTCATATTTTATGTGTTGTATCTAATCCTACAAGTTGTATTAAAATGACAGTTTTTCTGGTTGGCAAGTTGAAATACTCTTATTTCATTAATTAACAGGGGTACTGTGCCTGACAAATTCTGAAATTGTTCTTGATGGTTTTTTTCTCTTTTTTTTTACATTCTTAAATAACATCTCTGGTCTATCATTTAGTTTTCTGGTCATTAGAAATATAGCATACTTTTAGAGAAAAATGATATTGATATGGTGTGTGGGTTAATTAATTGGTCTTTAATCTCTGGTTTCATCCTGATTGAATAATTTAGAGTCTTCTTCATTTCCTTCCAAGAATGTCAAAGTTAGAAATTCTATACATCATGTACCATTTTAATCATAATCATCATCATTAATGTAGTGGTTTGTCTTAGCTCTTCCTTCGGTTAGCTGTCTCATTTAACTGGAGAGCTGCCAAATGAAGGGCTGTGATTGGCCAGAAAAATTCAACTTTCAGTTCAGGTTATGAAGTTATTGGAAAATAATTTTATATATCTGTTTATTCAATGTTATTTTATATCTTTTTAATATGCAATGTACAGATTTTAAGTCTTTGATTCAATAAAAAGATTTTATATCTTTACATATTCAACGATTTTACATCTGTGTCTATTCAATAAGAAGATTTTATATCTTTGCCTTTAAAGAAGATTTTATATCTTTGCCTTTTTAAGAAGATTTTATATCTTTGCCTTTCAAGAAAATTTTATATCTTTGCGTTTCAATAAGATTTTATATCTTTTCGTATTCAAAAGAAGGTTTTGTAACTTTGCATATTCAATAAGAAGATTTTTATATCTTTATTAAGAATATCTTTGCATATTCAAAGAGTTTGTATATCTCTATTGAATAATAAGTTTTTATATCTTGAATAAGAAGATTCAATATCTTTATATAAGATTTTATATCTGTAAATATTTAATAAAATTTTATATCTCTGGATATTCAATAAGATGATTTAATGTCTCAAAATATTCAATAAGAATAATTGTACCACAAGGCTATTTACATCTAGATGCATTCTGAAGTGTTGTCTATACACACACACACACACACACACACACACATAATTCCAGTGAAAATATATATTACAAACAATGCATGCTTCAAAGCACTGACGAAAATTCACTTTGCAAGCAAATTTTCTGGTCATTGTCATTCAATCACAAAGTTCTCATGAGAAGCCAGACCTGCATTGATGACAATTTCCAGAACATTGCCAGTCTGGTGTTCATTAGAGTTAGTAGGCTGAAATTGTGGAACATCCCCCCCCCCCCCCCAAAAAAAAATAATAATAGAAATACAAAATTAATCATAATCCAAGCTAGTCTATTCTTGACAATATGCGTTTATCCAGTAAGTAAATAGATTAGGAAAAGGTCTTGAACTTTGGACTGTATCTTTTGTGATTTTGTTATTTTTCAGGTGTTATTGACTATTTAACTACAGAAATCTCCACATCTAAACAGAAGAAATTTAGTTTGGTTACGTTTGTTGATACACCAGGATTAGTTGACGGTGATATGAAATATCCTTTTGATGTCAACGACTCCATTGCTTGGCTAGGTAATCACTTTATAAACATTCTGCATCCTGTTTCAATGGAGTTGCTAATTTATGAATCTACACTGTGATGGGTTCATGTATTTACAATTGGAGATTTTTTAGTATACCAGTATTCAAATAAGATTTTGGGTAAAAATTGACAGTTTTCTTTGAAAACACAGTTGACAAAATGATCAAATATTTACTTGAACCTTATTTACCATCTGAATACTCAAAAAATGGTATTTTTGTCCTGTTTAAATGGACTATTTAATTTGGTTATTTAAAAAATATCAATGTTTGAAATCACCTCCACTCTCCAGTTAAATAAAACCCATTATACAAAAATAAAGCAAGACTTTCCCTTTCAAGATGTCGTCACATTTCAAAATATACAGAATTTAATTCTGTTATTCAGGCATATGGATATAGACAATCTGTGATGGCAAATTCTTGGAAGAGGAAGTCTGTTTTCCTCCAGTCTGCATTGTAAATAATGCTACTTTGTGTACTAGCTTCTGCACTTGCTGACGTATTCCAAGTTTTGTAGTTCCAGAAGGTTTATGGTAGGCCTTGATTACTGGTCAAATTTTAGATTGTGCTGTGTTGGGGTACATGGATTAAGAATATGTACCATACATGTATGTTAAAGACTTCGATGTTCTGGGTGACAGAGACTAACAGAATTTAGATATCTACATTGTTCCTCATGTACCAATTTCTACTCTCGGTCAAATTTTCGATTGTGCCATGCTGGTGCATTTGTATTAAGAAAATGTATGATATAAATTTATTTTTGCAGGTGATTTAGCTGATTTGATCTTTGTGTTTTTTGATCCTATTGGACAAGCTTTATGTAAGAGAACGTTGAATATTGTAGAGAAATTAAATGAGAAACATGCGGAGCGAATTAGATTTTATTTAAGTAAAGCTGATGAAGCTGGTCATGAAAGTGATAGACAGGTAAATAGTATATGAGCGAATTAGATTTTATTTAAGTAAAGCTGATGAAGCTGGTCATGAAAGTGATAGACAGGTAAATAGTATATGATCGCTGATTGTAAAAAAAAAAAAAAATCTTAAATCAAACATTGATTTAAAATCTTGGTTTTGATATCAGGATATTTGTGGCCTTGTGGATCTTCTCCATTTTCTGTTAAATATCCGGGCAAATAATGACATAAATGCAGTGCTGGATTTACCAGTATGATTGGCAGACTGAAGCCTATGTCTTAATATCTATGGGGCCTCTGGCCAATGTGTGTATTTTGAACACTGTCCAGCCTTTCTGACAAGCACTGTAGTCTTAAAATCCATCATCCCCAGCTTTTGCTGATTTGTGTTTGAAACACTCTTCTATCTTCCTCTAGTCGTGAGGGTGGAGGATTTGGAGGCGCCTCATAAGTGGAATAGCCTATTAGGGACTCTCCATCAAATGGCAAACTCAAAAGTTACAAAATGCAATGAAATACATGTAAAACTGTACATTTCATTGTATTTTAGTTTGATTATTTTCTTGATTGAATGACAAGCTGTCTTTGTTTGAAATTGAACGTCCATATATAAAGCCAATGTTGTGTATTCCTTTTTCAACACAGAATCCTAAAAAAAGCTGAAATTAATATAAAAAATACAACCTGACTTCAGCTTAAGTAATTGAATGCAACCTATCGTATCACTAAACGAACTAAAATCTCTGGTCAACACTTTACGTCCATGGTTTAACTTATTGGAAATAAACCAATGTATATTGACGACATTGTGTAATTTTTGCTGGTTTTAAGGGGTTATCCTTGATTAGAAGCAGATTATTTATGACATATCATAATTCAATCATTTGGTATTTTTGTCTTCGCATGTATCTGTTACTTAGAATAAATAATGACAAGAATCTGAGTGTATAATTTCTTGACCATCTTATCCTCCCTAATGTTCTGCTAATCATTTTAATTGTATTTTATATTATAGAGAGTTATGATGCAGATTGTACAGGAACTATGTAAGAGACCTGGATTAAATAAAACAGGATTCGACATGCCAACAATCTATGTACCTAATATGAACAATAAGGTAACATATCACTGTTGGATAATTGAATGAATACCTTATTGAATTAGGTGGATGAGTGGTCTTACAAATGCGCTTTAGGTCATGCAATCTATCATTGAGTCGAATGTTGTGGTTTCGACTTTTTTTGCTGCGAGCAAATTAGTGAAATAAAAATGTACTATGTTATTCCCAAAATGATCTATTTTTGATTGGGCATTAACTCTACCACTGTCTCTAAACCCTTTTTGGGGGGCAATTTTCCCCAACTGCTGAACCAGTAGTATTTCTACGGCCAATGGCTGTCATATTTTTATTGTTTGTTTTTTTCAAAATATACGACATAAATTTTTGGCCCTCGATGTTAATGCTATCAATGGCCATTTCTATGGCTTACGACAGCTATTTCTTCAATGGCCATCAAGAATTTTGAAACCTAATGTTAAACCCCATTTCATTCCAGTTTACAAGTTGGAAAGATTATTACAGATGACATGTTAATTATTCACAATATGATGGTTATCTTTTGGATAGAATTCATCATGAAATGAACAGGACCAGTATAAATTATTATAAAATGTTTATGATATTACAGGGTAGTCGATGTGCCAATCAGATAGAAGAAGTTTGTAAGGATATAGAAAAAACGATAAATGGTACTATACAAACAACGCTGAATCAGTTAGAGAAAAACTGTGATCAGATTGCGGAACTAGTTGAAGATAAATTACAGAAAAACAGGTATTTTACTTTTAACTTTTGTCATGATTGATGGTCTAGCATGTGCACTTTAGTACAGAAGGTCAGTTACTGAGTTTAGTGACATGGTTTTAATCCCTAGCTTGTACATAAAAAAGGAGTAGGGTCCCCTGCCCAACCTCATTGGTTTTCTCTAATCCTCTGCTTAAATCCCAATGTTAAAGACCTGTTTATTAAAAGGAACATACCAGGTTTTAATCCTGAAATGACAGTTTATTTGAAATGGCTGTTAAACCCCATTTCTTTTACTTGTCAGATTACTTTCCACTTTCCTTTCTTGGTTTTGTAAAAAGTAATACAGTGTTTCATAGTACTCAAAATATGCTTTGCTATTTTTACCTGGAGGCAATTTCTCTGAAAGCTTATTATTGTCTCACCTTTCAACCTTTCACTATGTGTGGGTTGAAGCGCTTTCTTTTCTGCATCAGCAGGGAAAATAAAAACTGATTTGACATAGTGTGTTATGAAGAACCTTTTGACCATACAACTGCATTTCCAACTGTTACAGGTTCTGTGGATGCTAATCTGTTCATAGGACCTTGCTTTTCATACCATCTGAAAGACTAGACTGGACAGCAGCACAACTGCCTACGCTTATTTTAAATGTCAGGGGGTTCTTTACCGTTCTGCCAATGGGTGTGGTAAACCAGGAACCTCGGTTTTCCCTGGATAAATAAGGATGAGAATGCTCAAGAAATTTTCTCGGCCATCAAACTTGGACCTCCTAGTCTTTTTTGCCAGCGTTACTCACTAAGAGAATTAAATTGCTAACTGCCTTGTCTCCCAAATTCCTTGGAGCACAACCGTGTAATATTTCAAACCTCGTAGATCGTAAAAGTAATTATGAAATGTTTATATTTGTTTTGATTTTTTTTAGTGAACAAACATCAGCTAATCTGCGAGCACGTGTACGAGGTTTATGTTACAGTATGATTGGTATGTTATTACCATTGTTATTACTAGCAACATTTCTGATCTCAACCAGTCATCAACTACTTAGTTCAGTTGTAGGAGAATCCATTGTTGTCACCATGAGTGTATATCTGGTAAGTAAATTTCCTTCACATTTGATTTGTAACCAAATGGGCTTGATCCTAGGGTTAATGTCCCCTGTCAAGGGATTTTTGTCGTAGAATTCAGCAAAGAATAGCAATGGACTGGAGACATAAATGATGAGCTTTAGATCATAAGATCTGTCATTAAATCAGTTGGCTTGAGCTGGATCCAAAGCTTGTAGGGTCACGCATCCAACCCCGTGGGATTTCTCCAATTTCCTCCCATTGCTGAAGACGTCAACGCTCATTTGACATGATGAAATATATAGAATGGAAGTTTAGACAATTAAATTGTTTTCTCAATTTTATTTTATAATTTTTTCCTTCAGGGTCCATTGGCAAAAGCATGGCAAAAGATACCAGAAGCTTATACTAATTATGTTATTATTGGAATTCTTATATTAGCTTTGATATTACTGGTTATAGCCAAATTATCATCAAGGTTAGTCTTTGTATTACATAGAGCTTCTGTTGAATTGATAAACTTACAATACATATAATTGGCATGTCATAAAATAAAAATGACATCACTTAAAAATGGTTCGTGACACCATTTAAGAATATTTTTTTTGTTATTCAACATTCTCATGAATTCTTAATGTGACATGGTTTCCACTTGTCAGTGGTGCAGGACGGAGGGTCTGACAAGTACAGCTGTCTATTTTTTATACGCCCACATTTTCATGTGGACGTATATTGTCGTCGCCCCTGTCTGTCCGTCCGTCCACAATTGTTTGTGAACAGTCTACAGGTCACAATTTTTATCCGATTTCAATGAAACTTGACAAATAGGTTTATCACCCTAAGATCTCGGTTCCTTTCGATATTGGCATCTATCGGGCCGTAACTTCATGGATTATGGCCCCTGATTGCACGAAAAATCACGTTTTTGGCTTGTGAACACTGTAGAGGTCACAATTTTTATCCGATTTTGTTGAAACTTGAAATGTAAGTTTATGACCCAAAGATCTCGGTTCCTTTCGATATTCGCGCATATCAAACCATAACTTCCTGAATTATGGCCCCTGATTGTACGTAAAAACGCCGTTTTTTGGCTTGTGGACCCTATAGAGGTCATAATTTTTATCCGATGTAAAAAAACGTACTATTAGATCACCGTTAAACCCTAAGGACGGTCGAGTTCGAATTTCATGAAAATCGGCCCAAAACTGACAGACAAAATGGCCGCCGTTCGTTCTCAAATAACGTAAAAATATGGTATATCAAGGTTGTGGACCCTATAGAGGTCACAATTTTTATCCGATTTTGTTGAAACTTGAAATGTAAGTTTATAACACAAAGATCTCGGCATCTATCGGGCCGTAACTTCATGGATTGTGGCCCCTGATTGCACGAAAAATCACGTTTTTGGCTTGTGAACACTGTAGAGGTCACAATTTTTATCCGATTTTGTTGAAACTTGAAATGTAAGTTTATGACCCAAAGATCTCGGTTCCTTTCGATATTCGCGCATATCAAACCATAACTTCCTGAATTATGGCCCCTGATTGTACGTAAAAACGCCGTTTTTTGGCTTGTGGACCCTATAGAGGTCATAATTTTTATCCGATGTAAAAAAACGTACTATTAGATCACCGTTAAACCCTAAGGACGGTCGAGTTCGAATTTCATGAAAATCGGCCCAAAACTGACAGACAAAATGGCCGCCGTTCGTTCTCAAATAACGTAAAAATATGGTATATCAAGGTTGTGGACCCTATAGAGGTCACAATTTTTATCCGATTTTGTTGAAACTTGAAATGTAAGTTTATAACACAAAGATCTCGGTTCCTTTCGATATTCGCGCATATCGGACCCTAACTTAATGAATTATGGCCCCTGATTGTACGCTTGTGGACCTTATAGAGGTCATAATTTTTATCCGATTTAAAAAACCGTGTTAATATATCACCGTTACACCTTAAGGACGGCTGAGTTCGAATTTCGTGAAAATCGGCCCAAAACTGACAGACAAAATGGCCGCCCTTCGTTCTCAAATAGCGTAAAAATATGGTATATCAAGGTTGTGGACCCTATAGAGGTCACAATTTTTATCCGATTTTGTTGAAACTTGAAATGTTAGTTTTTAACAAAGATCTGGGTTCCTTTCAATATTCGCGCACATCGGACCGTAACTTCCTGAATTATAGCCCCTGATTGTACGAAAAATCATGTTTTTAGCTTGTGGACCATATAGAGGTCATAATTTTTATCCGATTTAAAAAAATGTTTTATTATATCACCGTTAAACCCTAATGACGGTTGAGTTCGAATTTCGTGAAAATCGGCCCAAAACTTACAGACAAAATGGCCGCCGTTCGTTCTCAAATAGCGTAAAAATATGGGATATCAAGGTTGTGGACCCTATAGAGGTCACAATTTTTATCCGATTTTGTTGAAACTTGAAATGTAAGTTTATAACCCAAAGATCTCGGTTCCTTTCGATATTCGCGCATATCGGACCGTAACTTCCTGAATTATAGCCCCTGATTGTACGAAAAATCATGTTTTTAGCTTGTGGACCCTATAGAGGTCATAATTTTTATCCGATTTAAAAAAAACGTATTATTATATCACCGTTACACCCTAAGGACGACCGAGTTCGAATTTCGTGAAAATTGGCCCCAAACTGACTGACAAAATGGCCGCCCCTTGTTCTCAAATAGCGTAAAAATATGGTATATCAAGGTTGTGGACCCTATAGAGGTCACAATTTTTATCCGATTTTGTTGAAACTTGAAATGTAAGTTTATAACTCAAAGATCTTGGTTCCTTTCGATATTTGCGCATATCGAATTGTAATTTCCTGAATTATGGCCCTTGATTGTAGGAAAAATCACTTTCGTTTAGCTGGTTTTCTATCCATCTCTCGAAAATGTGGGTGTATACTGCCTGGCAGCCGCTGGTTTTTTTTTTTATATAAACAATATTTTATTCAGGTTGTCTGAATGGGATTGGGGAACAGTCTGAATAAAATATTGTTTATGAAAAAAAAAAAAGACAGCTGTCTTTGTTTGGTAACAACTGTCTAGTTTTTCGGATGGGATGAAAAAACGAGGTCCTGTGAAAAACATTAGCATGCATGTAAAAGATCCCTTGGCAGTTGGGATTTGATATGTGTAGGCCATAGTACAGCTGCCCAGGCAAAATTTCCCTCATAGCACACTGTATGGCGTATGTCCTCATTCCTTAGCCCAGTCAGAGCAGAACAGTAGGAAGTTAAACCCCATTTCATTTTCATTTTGAATTCTTAATCGTTCAGATTTCTCACGGTAAAGGGAAGTAACTCTATAAAACATTTTAAGTTGAAACCAGAAGTGTACCATAGGCTCAAATACCAAACCTTGATAAATGACACTGGATTATCTTAAACTGATGCACAGTCATCAAGAAATAGCCACCATCCAAGAAATGACTGAAAATTATACTGTATGGGATTGGGAGATGAAGGGGGCATCATTCATGTCATCACTACAAAATCTATTCTTGTGTTCATAGACTGAGACAGTTATTTACTGCTTGTACGTAATTTTTACTGCTTGTAAAGTAACTAGTTTGTATACCAATTTTTGAACATTAAGAAAATTAAATTTCAGCTATGAATCACAATGATTGGTAATTCTGTATGTGAATGAACAGTTGAGAGAAATGTTGAACCGTGTAATATGGTGTATATATGAGAAAAGCCCACTGATCCTTTCACAAATAAAAATATCCCTCCTAGAAATAGGTTTTATAACCTGGTATTCTTCAAACCATTTAACAATTGTGGTCTAAGGGGAGACAATTCTGCAGTAATATAGCAAATGTTTTACAATAAGATATTTTTGTGGATTCTTCATTTTTAAAATCGGCTTGTCAAATTGTCTCCCAACTGTGGTCAAAGGGCACACAATTTGATAGAAACTTAATATATCAACTACAATTATGTTTTTGGTGTTTTTTTTTTTTAACAGAACAAGTCCAACATTAAGTAGGAAACAGAAAAGAAATCTGTTAGAAGTTCGTGATTATGTTCAGGGTACTGTCAAATCCAAAAAGGTAAGTTGAATATTTTATTCTTTCTTCAATCTTACTTCTGCAAAAATAAAAACAGCTGGTTTGAGAGGAAGTGCCAGATGAACGATTCAGCAATTTTCTTGGGAAGAGAAAGACGGTTCAACCTAGTTTCAGAATTTTCTGTGGAAATGCTCTGACCTGGCATTTATTCATATTTTATCATTCACTAACTTTGAAATCCCAATTACAAAAAATAATGATTGACTAAGTGCTAAGTTCAATAATGCACATTTTCTGCACAATGTAAGCAGAGCAATAAGCAATTTGATTGGCCAAGACTTTGGAGCTCTATGACTTTTTTTCTATTTGAGTGAATCTTGAAACTTGGTGTATGCTTTCATTACACCAGTGTCATCAATAAGTTCGATGATGAGCATTTTCTGCCTAGGCAAAGTAAAGACTTCAATCGGATTGGTTGAGACTTTGGAAGAAAAACTTTGATTCTAATTGTGTGAGATTGATGAAACTCACCTTTAGCTTGTTTGATTCAGTATCTCTATTTCTCAATTGATTTGGAATCAAGATAATTAAAAGATACAATAGTTAAGATTTAGATAAAGAGCTGACCATTCTTACTATAATAGTTTGAAAATACATAATGCAAAATGAAAATATTGAAAATTTCATTTAAATTACTTTATTCTGACCCAGGTTATCACTGTAGTTTTGACACGATGTGTGCATTGTGGTAACCAGAGCACTGGTATATTCGAGACTTAGTCTCGCTTTCCTATTTTTAAATTCAATTTCAAATAGTGAACCATTCTAATCTAGTTAAAATCTCGAGTATCCGATGCCATTGAAAGTTGATTATGGTCTGGATAAGTTGATTAATGTCTAATTAATAATTTAAATAACATTTCAGGCCTAAAGAAAGACCTGTAATAGGCAGATTTAGCTCTTGCATAATGTATGTTTAATATGATTTGTGTTAATGCCAGGTTGTTTTGTTTTTCAGCAAACTTTATACCAGGAATATTTACAACAAAGTGTCGCAGAACATGATATGTAAAGAAAGAAGCTAACAACATTATCAGTACATCGAGTCATCCTAACTCATAAATAATTTAACAATTCAGAACAATTCATTCTTTCAACATAGCAATTTTACTTTTAAACAGTGTGTTTCTTTTAATCTTTGAGAATTTATTAAAATTTTGATGTTGAAACCTATCCATGTATTTGAATAGATTGGAATTTTTTTTTTTCATTTTCTTCATAATCTATCTCTATACAATCAGCAGCCCATGTGTTAAGCCATCATTTCATTTATTAACATGTATACTAAGGCAGCAAATATTTCTCTTGTATTCAGTTGAGTCATCATGTGTATCATGCAATATTATGTCTTATTTTAGTACTATGCGAAAACAAAAGTAGCCTATATGCTCAAGATATCTGTATGAATGTAAAGTTAAAATTGTTTCAAAATAATTTAAGCACAGGCTTTTCCGTATGCTCAATAAAACCATTGGAGCATGTTAAACTGAAAAATATAAATAAGTAAGCATTAATTGGAAATGAAAATATAAGGTGAAGATGACAAGAAAAATGCAAATTTGTGAGGGCTAAGTATAGTATTTTAGTTAGCTTAGAGATTATTTTCAATAGATAATTGCATTTTTCGGGGTAACTATGTGCACACCTTAATTTCCAATGTCTGTTCGAAAACTTAGATGGACAGTGGTTTCATTAACTTAATTTTTCGTCTTTGATCAAAAAGTAGATTATAGAACATGAAACTATTTTTCATTCAACCTTAATTAAATCATTCATCTATTTTACGTGCTATCAGTAGTTTTATGTATATGTATGCAATATTCATATTTTCATCTGTTGTGCATGGAATTCATACGGAGCATTGAAGGCGTGCGATAGGTGCACAATCCATGCCAAGATTGTCTTCCTTCGATTGTCACGTGGCTTATTTCCTCAAAGGCAACTTACTGGACCTGTTATGAATAATCAGCAAACTTGTTTTGTTTTTTTACCGGAATATCAAAATCACTGTAACTCGTGCTAATTACTCGGATTATGAACCACATGACCGATTCTCACTAAGTTAGGATGGTTATTGTAGCCGACAAGCAAGTTGATCGACTACTTAATTAACAAGTAATAATTAACCCGTTGTAATTTAGCCGAAAGTAGATTGATTTATGATACCATAGTGACCGGTTCATTGTTTTACTAATCGGCTTGATTGAACTTCAAGCAGCTAAAACAGACAAAAAACAGCTGATTATGATCCCTGGTTATGCAGTTGTTTAAATATTTATCAAATTAACCAGAGTATGTCTGATATTATTAATTATTAAATGTGTTATAAAATATTTGCTCAAATTTTATTCCAACTATGACTGTAGATATTTGTTCTTATACTAATGAGTAAACAATTGTACAGATTTCATCATAAATACTTTTTGTGGAAAACCGGAGTGATAACAATAGTCAGAACATTTTTATTTTGTATTTCATTAGATAGATTTACGACAGTCATCATCTATATTGTGCGCATGCATCCACTCAATTGGTTGTAGGGCAGACAACTGTGTGACTCGTTTATATTTTTATTTATGAGTATGATATTAGACAAAATCCACTATTCTGACATATGCACAGCAAGCATCAGAGTTATCTAAGATCAGGCATAGTGTTATAAAAAATCTGTTTCGAATCCCCGGTTCTACGTGGCAAGGAGTAGGGTCGCCTGTCCAACCTCGTGGGTTTTCTCCGGGTCCTCCGGTTTCCTCCCACTGCTAAAGACCCCTACGCGCAAGCGAATTGTGTAAATATAATTAAACCTCGTTTGTGTCGAGTGGACGTTAAACCCCATTTCTCTCTCTCTCTCTCTATAAAAAAATCCTATATGCTAAAGTGACATGCGCATGCACAGTCGATAATAGTGACTTTCATCTGTTAATGCATATTTCTGATAGTGATGTACATCGTAAAAATAAATGGGTTGAATCTAGTCAATTTGTTATTTGCTGAGAAGACTTCCATAAGAACATAATTCATTTTCATGTTTTATTTACTGTTTGTTTCATAAAGCGTCCGCAAATGATATAAATTCATAAATAAGTACTTATAAAATACAATTGTTTAAAGGGCAGCAAGTACAAAGGTGATGGGTGTCTGGTACAGGGCTCTCATTTCAGTTACATCTTGACTCGATCACTGGCTGGAGAATTGTCAGTCATAAAATTAGAATTCCAAAGAATTTAACCATAAAGCATAAATAAACTTAAATTGTGTTAAAATAGTTAAAAATATATATAAAACTGGGATAATGCTTTGAAAAAAATATGGTGCTCAAATCTGAGGTGAACAAAACATGTCAGATATTTTGAAATGAAAGCCCTGGTGTGGTAGACCTTAGATTTAATTTCTCCATAATACTGTTTGTATTTGAAGCTTTGGAAAATTTTTAATCTGGTACTTATGATATATTGTAAAAGTATGATGAGTGATGGATTAGATAATAGTTTTTTCATATATTATATGTTATATTGAATGTTAATCTCTCTTAAAGGCAGCTAAATGTGAGTAAGAGGTGACATGTATTATTTTCGATATTATTAAAGATGTTAATAAAGTTACTACTGCAAGATTAAGTACGTTTTATTTTATTCTTCCAAATGAAAATCTCCAGGTAGATACCTCCCCACCCCATCTATCTGCGCTTAATGAGTAAGAAAATGTCAACACTTTTCTACTTGTATTTGAACATTAAATAATTGACATACATTTGTTATTTTCTATGTACTGTATGGTTCAATCCACCCTCTCAGTTCCGTGGGTTATCTATTGGACGCAGGTGTTGAAGTTTGCAGTGTAACAGTCCAATCCCTTAATTTGAATTCTCTACATAAGAGGAAGACTATTGGCAGTTGAAAAACGAATGCACTAATCATTGGCAGATTTACGGTTAGGTCGAAATGTTAAAACCACCTGCAGATTTTGTCGTGGTCATGACGTGTAAACAGTGCTAACCCTAGACCTCGCCCACAATCTTGTCAACAATCACATGCAGCTAACTCTATATACATCTTGCGACCTGGATGAAATCTGCTGGGGGCCTTAATATTTAGACCTCACCTACATGTTAACAAGTGGAGTCGCATTGGTGATTTGCTACATGATTGCCTGTGTCCATGTATGAATTGCGTTTATATCCTGGTGTGGGCAAAGAAGAATCTGAGGTCTTATTATGATAATCTGTTTTCCAAATGAGGGTGGTCTAGAATATGCATTTTGGATCATAAGGTCTGTCATTGAGTCAAGTGATATGGTTATGATCCCAAGCTTATACATGACAAGTAGTGGAGGTCTCCTGTCAAACCTTGTTGGTTTTCAACATTTTCCTACCACTGCTAAAGACCCCTACAAGCAAACGAATTATTGACATAAAATTGAACATTTTATGTTGTCTCCGTTTTTCATATCATCCAAATGACTAGTCCTTACCAGGCCCTCCGTCCTCCACCACTGACAAGGAGTACCTTCTCTGTCAACAGGGTTAACTGAATATTAAAGTAGCTAAGTCTCTAACTCAATATCATCCAAAACGTTCGACAATGAAAACACAAATTACTTGTTAATTTTAATCAACATTGGTGTTGTGATCTTACCGGGAAAAGATGGGTTTTCTGATATCCAATATTTAAGACAAAATAAACATTTTACGATTGGTACACGAATCGTGTACCATAATGCATTTCAGCGCAATTTGTTACAAGCGACTCGGAAGAGCGAGGTTAGACATATTCCACAAGTCATGTCAAACGGTGACCCCATATTCGTATCTGGAGAGCATGCGCAATAAATATTACCGGTGTAGACTGGAATAACCAGATGCTAGAGATTGCCATTTGATTGAGACTTCTGGCGTATTTCGCCGAACATAACTGCTTTGAAATTAGAGTAAAAACGGAAACGATTGAATGTAAAACATTAACAACTGATTTTAATCAGATTGCACTTGGTTTTGACTACAAAATAAATCCCAAGTAAATAAAACAATATGGTTTTATTCAAGAATAATAACAAAAATAGGTTTCAATATTTTTGAAATAAAATTAAAACATTTATATATGCTATAATAAATGATTATTTTTCATATATTTGAAAAAAAAAGAGTACAATGAGTGTACATTTCTATATAAAATTAAATGACAAATAGCTTCGGGGTAAAATAAAATTAAAATCTGTTCATATTAAATACAGTTTAAAAAATAAAGGGAATACTATAATATTTGGGTTAAAAAATATTTCTATCTATTACTGTTATACTACAGTTGAACTTCTTCATAATTATGGAATGAAATTTGGTTTTAATACCAAAACAATAAATTTATCATTTTGTAATACCAATATGGTAATTTTTATTTCTAGGATTTTGCCTTGAAAGCATTGTTTTTGCAAACCATTTCTCAATTTCCAAATGTCAAGGTTTCATATATAGACTTCACACAGTGCAAAGTCTGTGCTTTCTTTTATTCTAATAAATGCTTGTGTCAAACCTTGTATTAAATAATATTCTTATTAAAAAAAAACAGTTTTCAAGCACTTGTAAGGGGTTAAAATCCTTGTTTTTAGAAAATAACTCTCTGTATACAAAATATATATTAATAAAAAATGATACAATCACAGCTGATGTCTACATCTGGGTATGACACCAGTAACAAAAATATGACCAATCAATAATTAGTTATAGATGATCTGCCTCATTGGTGACATGCCTTCGTCCGGCCATTTTAAGCTTTCTAGTACGGTAGTCACAGATGTAGCATGGAACAGTGTTCTCTTTTCAATACATTGCTATGGAAACAAACTGAGAGTCTCCATACACAAAAACTTGCCATTTAACTACATTCTACTAAAACCACTAGTATTGACAAGTTGCTAGTGCCTAGCATTATAGAATGAATAAACTATAATAATAAATGCGTCCTGATAAGGGAAGAAAATAATCTGAAACAGACTTAAAACTACAACATAAAAGGGTCCTTCTGTGTGAAATGTTTTTGTTTGGCTCTTACAAATTGTTATCAGGGCTGTAAATAAGGCACCTGTCACAAGACATTATCAGGTACAAATTCAGGCTTTATTAGATGCAATATCTCTGCTGCCTGTTATTGGTCCAGTACAGATTTGTCTGTTTTACAGTGCTTTTATTTGGCTTACACAGATTCAAAAGGTTAAAAGGCGCTGTAATAATGATTTCCAGCTGTACTGTTTGTTAAGACCATACCAAATCATATAAAAATCGGTTTAAAAACAGAACCACTCTTACTTTATTTGACACAGAATGCTCCAAAACTAACATAAATATTAGGCCATATAAAAAGCTTTCCTGGTTCTCGGATAATCCTGCGCCACTCAAAAAGGGCTGCATGACACATTTTGATTTCAAAACAAATCTCATTTATTACCATACGTAAATATTTTTCCCTGGTTAAAGGAAGTAACTCTATACATTCCTATAAACAACATAATGAGATAAATGTAGTGTCTTGAAAGGTGATGTTTATGAGAAGTCATTTAGCTCATTCGCGATCCTTTGACCAAATAACACCAAAAATAAAAACCACCCTCCCACATAAAATTTTTATATAAGGATTGTCTGAGAACGAGAACTTATTTTTTCGACTTGCCTTAAATACCATTCAACATGAAAGGTAAAAATATTAACAACAATGACATCTTAACAAGGTGAAAAGGTAGAAAAACATTAGGGGTATAAGAGTTTTAATGAAGAAAAATACATAAATAATAAGTGTTTAAAAGAGTAGCATTAGAGAATAGCACTTACAATTTCATCATTTATTGGCTGAGATCACATGGAATTCAGATGCTTTACTTAACAAAACTCTTAAAAATAAGCATTTAAGTACATATATAAGTATTATATATGCACTATTCAGTACATAAATCTTGCATACAGATCACTGATATAACAGATCACTGCAGGTATATTCTGACAATTAATATACTCTAACAGATCATTATATATTCTAACAGATCATTGTATATTCTAACAGATCATGGTATATTCTAAAAGATTGTATATTCTAACAAATCATTCTATATTCCAACAGATCATTATATATTCCAACAGATCATTGTATATTCTAACAAATCATTGTATATTCTAACAAATCACTGTATATACTAACACAGACCATTCCATATTCTAACAAATCATTATATATTCTTATCTAACAGATCATTGTATCTGCCACAACTTGTTGCATAACAGCTATTTTGAAATGATACCTACATAAGTTACACAAAAACTTCACAATTCTTCACAGATTATTTTTGCAAATTCTAGTTCTATGTGTATACACACCCTAAAGACCAAAACAATTAGTCTCAATTAAAATAAAATTGTTTATTTTTAAAGAACATCTAGAGCCTATCATATATTAAATTTAAATTTTGAAAAAACAAATGTTTTGCATTTGAAAACTTAAACTTAAATAAGACAAACATGTTGTTTCTTTAACAATAACATTAAAAAAGATATAACACATTTATAAAATGTGCATAAAATATATCAACAATATCAATTACAAATGATTACAAGTGATGAGTATATATAACAACACTAAAAAATGGATGTATAATGATTAACTAACAAGTAATTTACTGACGGTTATTTCGTATATTCTGAGTCATTGCTTATTGTAGAAAAATAAACTATATTTTTTCTGAGGTCATAAACTCCGCAGACTTTAATTGTACTGGTTCCTCTTCTACTATAGTGGATTTTAGACTTGTGCAAAATTTCTGAAATTAATGAACAAATACAATACATCATGACACTAAATTCAAAATATTTTGTAAACATAAAGATAGAATATAACCTCACAATTCATATCTATATACAAAAGTCTTTTGGTTATGTGAACTCCTAAAACAAGAAGATGAGGTGTTCTTGATCATTGCTTGGGTGGGTAGCCGCATGGTTAATGCGTGCGCGTTGGGTCAGAAGGTCTGTTATTGAGTCAAGCGACATGGTTTCGATTTCCCACTTATACGTGACAAGGAGTAGGGTTGCCTGTCCAACTTTGTGGGTTTTCTCTGGGTCCTCTGGTTTCCTCCCACTGCTAAAGACCCCTCTGCAGTAGCGAATTATTGAAATAAAATTGAGTCATATGTTAGTCCCGAAATGATCTAGATTGTGTCGAGTGGACGTTAAAGTACATTTATCTCTCTCTCTCTCTTGATCATTGCTTGATAAAGATACCTGTAAGAGTACTGAAACATTGCATGTAATAAACTAAGAAGTAGTAAATCCATAAAGTTGTGTTATTATGAATACTCTCAAACAATCTATTTTATTACCTACCTTCCATATATTAGAACCTTTAGCTTGATAAACAGCATGTACCATACCTGCTGGTATACATACAACAGAGATAAGGGCAATAAACCATCCTAATCCGACAGCCCAATCAGGATATATATAGCCAGCTACTGACAGTGGTTTATACTGTATTAAACTAAATATCATTATACCCTGAAAGTTGAAATAAAAAATCTGTGAAAGTGCTTTTGAACAGAATAATTCTGCTGCTAATTGAAGTAGAACATTCACAATAATTGGTGGAGATGCTCAATGTCTTTATGATAATTAGCATTTTCTGCTTAGACTAATTAAAGATAAGTAATTTAATTTGTTGATGTTTTGGAGCATATGATAACTCTAGATTCTAAATGAGTGTAAGTTAATGGGTTTGAGTGGTAGAATGGTCCTAAGATCTGTCATAAGTCGCATGGTTTTGACTTATATTAAAGGGAACGGAAGCTTATAATTAACCCATTTCCTACGGACCTCATTTGACCCAATTCTGCCCTGTTCGTTTCAAAATGGATTAAGAACCCTGCTCTCGATCCCCTGAGTTTTCTCCGGCTTCTCTCTTGTTTACTCCAACTGCTAATTAAAGATCCCTAAGGGATAGTGAATTATTGAAATAAAATTGTACATGTTAGTCCCCAAATCGATCTAATTAAAATACAGATTTATATTTCGTTTCATTTTTTCGACAGTCTTAACTACATGAAGATCTGACCAGTTGTAGTGGGAGGTCACATCAGGGGGTCATACGAGCAGCTTTTGACCCTATGACATCAGACTTCAGCGTTGAGGTTTCTGCTGGGATACCAACAGTTTCGTGCACTGCACACCAAAAACTCGCCGTAACAGACCCTTTCAATGGCTTATCCCTCACATCAACCAGAACGCGGGTTATATAACAACTCTTCCAGATCCTAGTGTAGTAAAGACAATTAAGTAAAACGAAATCAGATTGTCCCAAAATGAAATAGTTTGTATTGAGTGGACTTTAAACTTCATTTCTCTCTTTCGATATTAACCATTTTATGTTCAGGTCAATTTGATATCTCGACACTTTATAACAAGATAGATGTGCTAGTAAACAATCAGTGTCCTGTATATATGTATAGTGTTATTATCTTACCAGTATAAGTAAGGGAGATAATCCATACCAGCATACAATGAAAAACAACTGAGGTCTCCTTCCTGTCATTTCTTCTATATTATTAGATAAACGTCTTGCTCCTATAATACAAGCACATATATCATTTCAATTTAATAATCTTACAGCCCTTGCGAATTACCGTAGTGCGAAATATGAATCTTTAAAAGGTATAACCGTATATAGATGGACAGGCAAAGAGTCATGTTGGTTGATTTCTCTGCCGCTTGTGCGAGATCTCAATGTCAACCGCAAATCAAGCGATGTGAGTTTTGACATTGCAGGATTTTAAACAGATTAATTTCTCAAACTCCTCCTCAGAATTTACGGTATTCTTATAGTTACATGGTAATTTTTCAACCCGATAAGTATTCCTGTCCGGTAGTGACGAATTTCTCCAGTTTAAAATTATGAAAATAAATTTCAGGTATAATCCCGTTCCGGAATGATGATTAATTGTAAAAATTAAAAGAGTGTTTTAGTAGGTTTATTTTTAACAAAAACTTGACATGTTTTTTTTTTGGATTCACATGGGCACGTCCGAAGTAAACAAAGATGATGTGTTGATACATTTACACCCCAATCATCAGTTAGTAGACTATCTATGTATGGGTTGCAAAAACAAAAAAAGGGTAGCAAGATTAGTAAAAATATTATGAATTGATTTCTGTTTCTTTGCTTTTAAACTTAATACTGGTAATTGCGCGGGGGGAGGTAATTTTATTTTAGTCACAACTATTGTCCGGTCTATTTTTGCCGCGGCACAGAATTCTAAAGGCTTCGTGGACGTTGCCTGTCCACCTATACATGGTCCATGGTATAATAGTCCAAAAATAGTTCAATTCCATTCAGTATTTACAAAGACATGATGAACTGAAAATTTCACTACATTCGGCATCCTCTCCAGATGACAATAACAGGTTAGTGCCCAGGGTAAATCTTTTGATGCGTCTTCCTCAATGTAAAATATACTAACCATAAAACCATGTGATAGCTATGACTTCAAAGAAAGCGAGAATCATTAATGACAGAGCTGCTGCATAATAATCTATAAGTTGAAAAAAATAGATTCCTCCCTAAAATATACAGAAAGTATACATTTATATTAAAAAAATTGCACATAATAAAAACAGTACCCATACCTTGTCAGCTAGTAATTGTGAGATATAACCGGACTTGAACAGGACATTAAAGATGGGAAAATCAAACTCATCCCATTTGTCATACAGTTTTAAAATGAGTTAAGATTCTGGATTGAGAAAATCTAAATAGGATGATGGGTTTTCACTAACTTCGGTAGATGTATAAAATCTATATCATCACTGAACCTAAGATTATTCAGTGATAATACATCACCTCTGAGTGAAATAGAACTATTTGCAAGTCTTATAAGACGATCTTGCATAAAGTCTGACTTATGCAAATAAGAGAGAGAGAGAGAGAAATGAGGTTTAACGTACACTCGACACACACAAGGTCATTTCAGGGCTAACATATGGTACAATTTTATTTCAATAATTCGCTTGTGCATAGGAGTCTTTAACAGTGGGATAAAACCGGAGATTCCGGAGAAAACCCACAAGGTTGGACAGGCGACTCTACTCCTTGTCACGTACAACCTGGGAAACAAGACCCCGCCAGTTGACTCAATGACAGATCTTATGATACAGCGTGCACGCACTAACCATTCGGCATCCAATCCCCGCTTGTACAAATAAAGAAACAGATCAACAACAAAGGAGCAAAATTGGCACCCATGGGAAAACCAATCACTTGCTGAACCAGCGGCTGCCAGGCAGTATACGCCCACATTTTGCAAGAGATGGATAGAGAACAAGCTAAAAACGAACGCAATTTTTTGTACAATCTGGGGCAATAATTCAGAGAGTTATGGTCTGAAATGCGCAAATATAAAAAGGGACTGAGATCTTTGGGATATAAAGATATGTTTGAAGTTTTATCAAAATCGGATAAAAATTGTGACCTCTAGAGGGTCCACAACCTTTGTATTACATACTTTTACAAAATTTGTGTACAAAGAGTGGCCATTTGGTTGGGCAGTTTCATTTCAATTTTCCCGAAATTCGAATTCAACCTTCATTATGGTGGAATGGTGATATATTTAAACGTTTTTTAAAATCTCTAGAGAATCTGCAAATTAAAAATATGTTGTTTTTTTTCGAACAATCAGGGGCCATAATCCAGGAAGTTATGTTTGGATGTGCGCGATACTTGGCTTCTGATACTTGAGCTTTTTATGGAGTGGTTCTATTCTTCACGTTAATCAAATCTATACCAGCAACATGACAACCCTTTGTTTAATCTGGGGTCTTTCCTAAAACTTTGGACAGTGATTTAAGGTATTAAAAACAGTGAAAGTACTGTTTGTCTCCAAACAGTATTGTTTACACTGTATCTGTGTTGATAGCCTCGTTTGTCACGCAATTAGTTTTTCTGCAATATTCTGCTATGCACTGGTTGATTGGGCATAATAAAATCGTGAGTCATGACGGAAGGTTATGTAAACATATTTGGTCCAATTTAGAGCTCTGTTTAAAGTGTAATGATATTGTTACAAAGTTAGCTATTGGTTGTTAATCGGACTATTGACCAGTCATAATTTGGAACAGAAATTTGCTTCCTTTACAGTAGTTTTAAGTGGGATTAGCTCTAACCAAACGAAACACTGCAAGGTGTATGTCAAACTCTTCTCAGTTACTTATTGTGTATTACGCTTTAGGATGGCCTAGCTGCCTGGAACGTCGTGCTTCGACCTCTAGCTGGTCGGTCACTTTGGCTTACGTTTGTGGTTTTGATCCCTGGTGTGAGCGTATGTGGTTTGGAGATAGATAGGGGCACCTTTTCAACCTCTTGGGTTTACTTCAGGTACTCCGGTTTCCTTCCACCATTGGTGGAAGCGCACGTTAAACACTAAGAACAACAACTTGTTTAATTTGAAATGATGAATTAGTTGTAATAATTAAACAAACCTGAGATAGATTTGGTAAACCAAACAAGAATGAAACAAAACAAACGACGATGACTAGAAATTCTTTCCTCTTTAGATATTTCTCTACTTGTGCTCCAAAATGATCCTGGATGTATGTGACTATAACTTCAACAGATGCAAACTGTAATAAACAAAACAAATAATATTTGTAACATGGACTTCCTTTGTTCTTTTTGTTGAATAAGTGGATTGGGTGAAGCTTAATTCACAACACAAGCTAGGTCATTTTGGTACCAACATATGGTTCAATTGTATTTCAATAAATTGCTTGTGCATAGGGTTCTTTAGCTGTGGAAGGAAACCATAATGACCCAGGGAGAATCCACAAGCTTGGGCACGTACAAGTGTGGGATAGAAACCACACCACTTGACTCAATCACAAATTTTATGATCTAAAGTGCACAAAACCCCCCTCCCTATATAATTCTAATAAGTTTTGTTTACTTAGTCAAACACCAAATATTTGACTACTTTTTTAAGGCCATTTCATTTAAAAATAAGTTTTGTTTTTTAAAATTATTATTAGACCAAAAAAAAAAGGGTTCTGTTTCCTGTAATGGATGGAAAATAGGGTAGGTTCGGTAGGTAGGTTTTTTTTTTCTTTTTTTTTTTTAATGTTACATTGTTAGATCTAGTAGATGTACTGTAGCATAATATTTTGTGCGAAAAATCTTCAATTTTATGTTAGGTTGAGTCGGCGCCGAGGAACATGAAGCATGAATAGATTGGTGGATGGAATTCTTGGATAATTGTTTAAAATGTATCAGAGGCTAGATTATGATTTAAATATTCTCTTAGGGGGCAAATGGACTTTTTAATCTTTCTATGCTAAAAACAATAGCGTAGGGAGGCCATTTTGTTCAAGGGAAAGAACGCACAATGGAAACTTAGTTAAATCTATACGAAACCTGTAGTCTCGATTTTCACGTCAGTTAGCAATCTCGCGTATGGCAGTTCTTAATAATTGTTCACTGTACAGTACTCGCTTATTCCGATCGGTAAATGCAGATTCAAAGAACGATGACATTTATATCCATTTATAGCAACAAATAATAAAGCCATTTTCACGAATCCGGTAGGCTTAGACTATTTTGAACAGTTGCTCATTGAACAAAAAAGTTTTTTTATTTCTCTTGGCACTAAAAAAAAAAAATTGAGTCGGCAGGTTTTGTAATGGGTCGGTCGGGTTACCAAAAACATAACATTTTTTTTTTTGGCCTTATAAGCCTTTTTTTACAAATTCCTCATTCTCACCTGACTGTCAATGCCTAGACAAATTAACATGAAGAAAAATAGAAAGGCAAATAATTGAGCAACTGGCATTGAAACAAAGGCTTCTGGGTAAATCACAAATACCAGACCAGGTCCTACAAGAACAAAATATATGATATATTTGGCAGTTCATATTAAAGATACATTATCCCGAAAGTATTTATCAAGTGGTTATTTCAAATAAAAGTATGGCAAATTTAGTATATATGGAAAGTATAGACACCCAACCTTACAAGAAAAATACTGGATTACCTGAAAAACACCCATGGGGCAAGCACTGGGCAAAAATGTCAGGGTATCACTAGCTGAAAACCCGACTGTTGTCTGCCAGCTTATTGTGTGTTAGCTTGACTGAGCGAGCAGTTGTTTTCTCTTGATCAAACGGTTAGGCGGTTTTGGGAACATTGAGGGGGGTCAACGAAAAAAAGACTCTGCAATTAAACGATGGAAAAAGAATTTACTTACATGTAAGCCTCAATATGTATGGTAAATGGACAGTAAGTAATGAAAAATACATTCTGATGTGAGGTGACAAACATGTCTTCTAACAACAGTTTATTTATAGCTTGAGGTATCTCCCCGCAAATAAAAAGTTTTGAGAGGAATTCGAAGCAAATTTTTGATAGACTAATTAGTTTGAATATGATTTTAGTCCAAATATATCATCATATCACATAGTTTGTACCCGGGAAAGTATCTTTCAATCCACAACAAAACACTTTCCTTTATTTATAAGAAGATTTTTGCTCTCAAATATGTTTCTTCTCTAGATATAGCCTACCATTGAGGCTGTTTAATGACAAGGATGATATGTTTCTTCCATATATTTTGTAACAATCTACACCCCTTCACATATTTCCATACCCCCCACCCTGCATCGTTATAAATAACTAACTCTATGTGTAGATCTGCCTTGTCTATTTGTGATAAGTGATGGTTTTAAAAACTTTACACAAGTTCTATTGGGTTATAATGTTGTATGGAGTAGTAAATAAAGGAATATACCTTCCTGGACAACACTTTCAACATCTGTAGCTTGGTTGTAGGCTAGATTACCCAGTATAGAAAATATAGCAAAACCAGCCAGTATACAAGTGAAGGCATCAACAACTGCTAATATTACAACATCCCTGTAATATGAAACAATATAATTGCCTATAGTATAATAAACTTAAGAGTATTTGCACTTTAAAGATCTGGATTGGGGTTTAACATCTCATCAACATAATACTTCGAACATACTGAATTTTTAGCTCGTACAGTGATATTTACCCCAAATAATCTACCAAGCCTCTGATACCGGTAAGTAAAATGATAAATTTCAAGTTAACATGATTCGCAACAAATCCGACCGGCCACTGCAAAGGTATAGACATTTCAGCACCCAAATTTTGTTTTTTCTTAGAACAGTAGAAGAGCTTCAAGTCTTTTACGACAGTACTTCTAAATTCATCTGCCATAGAAGAAAACAAAGCATAATCATGGTTACCCTTTGGCATCACAAACCACATTTATTGTATTCTTATATCATCACATAGTGCTTAATAACTTGACGTGTAGACAGTTGAACTTTGTTTTGGTTGGGGAGATCACCCAAACAACTAGACCAACTTTACTTGTCAGCCAGCCAACTCTCAGAAATGAAGAACTGGATCCGAGATCAGAAAGCATTCTCAGACTTTACTCAAAATTGTTCGCCTTATTTGAACTAAAATATAGCCCTTTCTAAAACCATTTTTGTTTAAATGTATCAAATACATCAATAAGATATGCCTAAAGTTTCTGGATCAAAAATATTTCTCATAAACAGTGATTGAAAGCTGAATAAATTCTCAACTTTGTGAACGCGGGGGCCAGACTTCAAAGATTCCAAAAGTTCCTTTTTGGACCATGCTGGGACTCAAACATGGGATATTCTAGTTGAGAGTCTAGTGTACTGACAGCTCAACTATCACGGCGCCTACCGTACGTTGGCGCTGGAACGATATTTTGTTTAATCGATGTATTGCGATTCACCTTCACGAATCGTATTGTAGCACCTAAAGTGCAATACATATCGTGACTGCAGTGGCAATACCCAGCACTACTGTACGTATAATGAAACTATATCAATTCAGTACTTTAAATTTAAAGAAGTAGTAATAAAATCACTGGGGGGGGGGGGGGGTCACTATGCATTTACAAATAATCTGGGAGGTTTAAAAGCCCATGAAACAATAACAGAAGTGCCCTAATAGAACACAGTGCTTCATTTGTTAATACAAAACTTTATAAGAAAGTCGAAGGGTAACAGCAAATAAAAGTAAACATACTTAATAATGTTGTTGTTAAATTTGTTATAACTAGACATAGTTATCAAGCCACCAAAAGCAACGCCAAGTGAATTAAAAGTCTGAGCTGCAGCATTAACCCAAACCTACAATATAATAAAAAGAATGAATTTAATAATATACTAGAGCTAAACAAAACTAGAATAATGCAATCCGATTAAAACACAGATCCTATTTTGTTTCGGTTTTTTATAGTTCAAAATTTTGTCTTACTTGTCTTTACTACATAAGGATCTGGAAGAGTTGTTATATTACCAGTTACTAGCGTTTTGTTTGACGTGAGGGATAAGCCAACTGAGGGTAAACCACTAGAAATGTCAACACTGATTGATTAATCAATGTCTGACGTCATAGGGTCAAAAGCCACTCCTGACACAACCTTCGAGTACAACTGGTCAGATCTTCATGTAGTGTAGGCGATCGAAAGTATAAAAAATGGAACGAAATATAGATCTGTATCTTAATCAGATTGTAGAACAATGTTGATAGTAATTAATACTAACCACATTAAAGCGGTAGAGTGCCCACAACATTAAAATGGTAGATTGTCCACAAGATTTATCAAACTGACCAAAATGTTTTTTCATCTTATGAACATAATTACAGTGTATAAATTTCATGTCAATTGGATGATAACTTTAGCCTCTAGGATATCTACAAGATATTGATCAAGGGCAATAATGCTGACAATAATTATTGGAAATTGTTCAAAGTCAATAAGCTTCTTTGTCTCATGAACTTAATGTATATAATTTCAAGTCAATCAATAATAACCTCTGTTGCTTGTGAACCACAATGGAAGAGAGAGAGAGAGAGAGAGAGAGATAGAGAGAGAGAGAGATGGGGTTTAATGTCTACTCGAAAACCGGACCTGATTCATTTTTATTTCAATAGTTTGCTTGCGCTTAGTTGTCTTTAGAAGTGGGAGGAAACAGGAGAGCCTGGAGAAAACCTACGAGGTTGGACAGGCGAGCCTACTCCCTGTCACGTACAGCAGGGGAATCGAAACCACGCCAGTTAACCCAATGACAGACCCTATGATACAGCGTACAGGTGCTAACCATTCGGCCATCAAACCCCCTGACAACGGAAGGACATGGGTGACAGAATTAAGAGCGATTATAAGATAGAAGAATAACAATGAGGATGTACAGACATTTGTTATATGACCATGGCCCTTATTCACGAAAACTTAACTGAGATAAAATCCAAATTTTAGTAATTTGATTGGATAATATTAGATTGATTTTAGTGTTTAGCCAATCAAAATTGAGGTATCTACTAAAATTTGGATTTGATCTTAAGTTAAAATTTCGTGAATCAGGGCCCAGATTAACATGTGGGTATATAGAAAACACAAAGCATAAACTGTATGTATTAATTACAGAGCTAAAGGCTTCAGACAGAACTGATCCATTATAAATGAAATTAAAGAAAATAGCATATAAAAAGTGGGTCATATTTATATCCTCAGGGCAACTCCTATATTAAAGTAGCAATGTTATAATCAATTCAGGAAACAAATCATACTACATCATGCATACTGGCTACAGTGATATCCACCATTTCTTCATGAAAACTCAATCTTTTTTTTACATTAGTTGGCAATCAAAATGGTGCTTATTTACAGTGAGTAGTGAGTGAGTTTATCAAGAGATAAAATTCTATGAAATCAAATTGGGTTTAACGTCCTACTGTTCTGCTCCGAACTGGGCTAATGAAAACGGGTTTACGCCATGCAGTGTGCTATGGTGGAAATTTTGCTTGGACAGCGGCACTACGGCCTACTCTTATATCGAATTCCAACTGTCAAGGGAACTTGTTTTTTTTGCACCATCTGAACAACTAGACAGCTGTCCTTGTCAGGCCCTCTGTCCTGCATCACTGACAAGGGGGGAACCAGGCTGGAATATAAAGAGATAAATAAGATGTGTTATTCAAGAGGGTTTCAAGTAATGGAGCTTCGACAGTTAGAATTTTTAAATTGATTGGTATATAAAATTATTACGTAATTGAATGTGCCCTAAAGCATAACTAGGACACCTGTTCAACCCACAAAACTTAATTTTTACCTCAAAGTACGATATAACTAACAACCAGGAAAATAGAATTATATGAATAAGCTAATGATGTTAGTTTTGTCTTTATTAAGAAAAGATCAACCATTGTTTGAAATTCACATGTTCATTCATTGTGTGATTAGAATGTCATTGAATGTGTCTACATTTAAAATTTGTATTATGTAAAAGGGTAACATAAAAAAAAAAGGTTTTGGAAACAAAATATATTTCGCGAGTATTTAGAAAGTGTTTAATAGTATTTGTTTATAGACCTAGGATCATGACTTGCTGATTAATGTTGATATATTACATCTTTAAATCCACTGATGACATACACATATATATTGATCTGTATGATATCTATATATTTACGCTATTATATATCTACTGATTTAATGACAAGTTTGTGTGATCAATATTTGTCATATATCATTATATTAAAGATACATTCCCATGAAAGTATTTATAGGGTAGTTATTTCCAATAAAAGTATGGCAATATTGGTATGGAAAGTGAAATGTCCAATTTTACTAAAAAAAATAAGTGGTTGCCATGCAATACGCCCATATTTTGCAAGAGATGAATAGAGAACAAGCTAAAAATATATGCAACTTATGGTACAATCAGGGGCCATAATCCAGGAAATTACGGTCCGATATGCACGAATATCGAAAGGAACCAAGATCTTTGGGTTATAAACATACATTTCAAGTTTCATTGAAATCAGGAAAAAATTGTGACCTCTAGACTGTCCACAAGCTAAAAATGTAATTTTTTGTACAATCAGGGGCCATAATCCACGACGTTTCGATTTGATACATGCCAATATTGAATGGAACCAAGATCTTTTTGACATAAACCTATATATCGAGTTTCGTAAAACTCGGATAAAAACTGTTACCTGTGGACGAACAGGGGCGAAGACATAATACATCCACATGAAAATGTGGGCGTATAAAAGTACTGGATTCCCTGAAAAACACCCATGGGGCAAGCACTGGGTAGAAATTTCAGGGTATCACTAACTGGCAACCCAATGGCTTATTGTCTGCTATCTTGACTTCGAGAGCGCTCGTTAGTTCTTAAACAAATGGTTATCCATTGTGGGAACAGGGAGGGCTTTAAACATACAACAGACTCTGCAATTAAACAGTGGAAAAAGAGGTTGGCAAAAGATAATCCAAGAATTTACTTAGGCTTCGATATGTATGGTATAAATGGACAACAAGTAACAACAAATACAATCTGTAAATGGGCCCTCCCTCAATCAAGTTACATGACAAACTAGTCTGCCTAAAATACATTTCTACGGCATGATGTAGTTTTTTCCAATTAAAAACTTTTGAGAGTGATTTGAAGCAAACATTTTATTGATATATTAGTTTCAACATGTTTTTAGTCCAGATATATCGCCATATCACACAGTGTTTACTAGGTGGGCATCTTTAAGAAAACTGAAACTTTGCATTTGATGAACTAAGAAGTTGTAAATCCATAAAGTTGTGTTACTATATCTATATCTACATTAGGTCAAAACAACTTAATTCATAGTTTTTCGGGGATTTGATAAATAGCCCATTTGAATCATGCGAAAGATGTTTTGTTTAATTAAAAAAAAATAAAACTAAATGTGTTTGAGAAGAGCAAAAAATACTTTTGGTTTTTAAATTTAGTTATTTCATAGAAAAACAAATCATTGAAATTGCAGTGGCCTTATGTTAGATATACATGTAATGTTTGTTATCATTGTGGATGGAATTGATTAAAGCAGAATACTGTATGGAACTAATTTAATGACAGAGTAATTTACTGTGTTGAATATTGACTAAATGAAGGGCAGCTGTCTGTAAAATTAGCTGGAAATGGATGCTACAAATTTCAAGCTACATCAAAGTATTTTTCGCTTCAGTTAGTTGATTAGTTGATATCTATATCATTATCAATAAACTATTTACTGGGGTGTTATGAACCAATTACAGAAGATTTTTATTCGACTGAATGTAATTACACGTCACAATTCTATCAATCCGATTAAAATACAGATCTATATTTCGTTTTGTTTTTTTATACTTTCGATGACCTACACTACATGACGATCTGACAAGTTGTACCTGAATGTCATGTTAGGGGTCGTACGAGCGGCTTTTGACACTATGACGTCAGACATTGATTAATTAATCAGCGCTGGCGTTTCTAGTGGTCTACCCACAGTTCCATGCATTGCACGCCAAGAAGTCACCGTTGATAGATTATGATTGTCGAACGTCACCCAACAACGTTTTAATTTTAAGACTAACCAAGAACATCTTTTATAAATGATCATGATCGATGTCTACAGCCTACAGCAGATCCCAACTTACCTGTCAGACAGATAAAGTGATAAATAGGGGAATAAAGTTTTAAAACATTTTATAATCTGTCAATCATTACATCAAGCACATGAATTTAAGTGATTTGATGAACTGATGAATTTATATGCTGTAATTAATGGTATGTAATGTTTTTAAAAAAAGCTCTGCCGAGATGACCAAGTTTACCACACCCATACAGCATTTTATATTTCATAGTAGTGAGGAAATTTACCTTGGCATCAAGAAATAATTTTTTTCTTTGAAAAAGCTCTGCAGAGATGCCCAAGTTTACTGTACCCACATAGCATTTTATTAGTAGTGAAGAAATTTACCTTGGCATCTAGTAATAATTCCCATCTTGGTTCTATAAAGAATCGTATACCATCAATAGCTCCCGGTAGTGTTAAGCCACGTACTAATAAAATCAGTAAAACAATATAGGGAAATAACGCTGTGAAATATACAACCTGAAAATATAAATAAGTCTCGTTATATGACACCATCTTGTATACTGGTAATCAGTTTATGTGGATGGATGAATATTATACTATGTTTTTGTAAAACATATCATAAAATTTTCAATGTGTGCAGACATTTCCATTAATGACATCTGATAAAGATGATATCTAATCACCTTCTTGTGTGAATGTAGTTAAAATATGATAAGTTGTAGGATAGAGGTGGGGTTCGGATAGAGCCTCTAAACCATGGTTTACCTGGCAGTCTCTTAACCTTAATGTACCGTGTAGTTCAAAGGAATCTCTAAATCAAGTTTACACTGTAGATCGGATGTACTATAGTTTTACAGGATGTCGATCATCAAATGGATATGAATTGTACAATATGTTAATCCCAAAATGACATAGTTTCTCTTACAGAAATATATTGTTAACAAGCTACAAAAAATCTAGATGTAATAGACTTGACGTAGAAAATTTAAGGTACATCAAAATGTTGGCAATAGGAGGGATTTCTTGCTATGGCTTTTTTGTGGTGTAGAATGGGAATCATTTTCTTGATTATAATCACAATGTTACACAATAAATTATAATCTCCCAAAACTGAATATTGTAATTATGTCTTTGAATCTCCATAACCTGGGATGTCATAAGTTGATTTTCTTATGTCATTGATTTTAGGGCTCATTCTGTTACCTTAAACATATTAATATAATTATTTCTACAAAGATCCAATTTTAGTTTTTAGTCACACTCTGTTAACCACCCATTAAATATATACAATGGGTTTGACTTGAATGCAGATATTCATTATCTATAATGCATATATCTTTTGTGTTGATTATCATATCATCTTAGGCATTTGTCAAGTCTGAGCCAGATCTCTCTACCCACTTATTTTTCTGTATGAAATAAACCGTGCAAAACTTTGCCACTGTGTTAGTCTCATTGCACTTTAATCATATACCTGTATATATCTAAATGAGAGCAGAATAATTGACTCAGATTTTACAGAATTCTTCGGTAATCCCTGAAATCTCAGGTCAAACTCCACCTCTCAAATCTCACTGTTCAAGTTCTTGAACATGCCCCTGGTTTTATGCAATTTCAAGTTGAAATATTTTCTATTATTTATTAAGCCTATCTAGATTAGTTTTAAAAGCAATGCCATGGATTCTATTTTAATTGCCATCTTCAATTTACGCCATCTAGGCTATTCAAAGTTAGAGTTTGGGGTCGAAATTCAAATCAGTAACCTCATCGTAAAAGTCATATGTTACGAGATAGTAACTAGTTATATACGGGGACAATGCCATTTTATTACCAAATTTGGCACATATTTTGAATAATGGCTGGTACCATATTAAAAACATATTATCAAAATTGTTTTCGTCAAACTTGTTTTTTTCGGTACATGTCACCTCTATATCCACTTTGTATAGTAAGAATTGAAAAAAATCTATTTATTGTACCACAACTGAATTGCACTGGTCACAAGATACTGCTCTCAGAAACTTCCTCGAGAGCTCCATATAGAACTATGCTAATTATGTAATTTTGGCCTGGACGAATTTTGGTATATATTGTCTGAAATACATGTATGAATGATTGAACTTAACCGATTTGTTTCTTTTGCAATTTATTTGGAGTTACTCCATTTTTGAGATTAACTTGGCCCACCTACTAATAGGTACATTTTATACCCACAGCAATGGCACTCGAGCTGTCAAGGGTTCTTTTACGTGTGTGCCAATGAGTACACAGAGTCTCAAGTATTTCAAGTCTCAAGTCTGTAAAACTAGATGCTATTTCCTGCACATGTATGATTATGTTTAAGTTATATGTGTACCGGTACTTGTTACTGATGTAAATAAAGTTAGTATTTACACACTGTGACTAGCATTAAACTGTTACATTTCATCCTGCACCTCTAGCAAGGGACACATGGCTAGAAAACCTTGGGGAATATTCCAGGCCAAAACCAGGATTAAATCCAGGATCACCTGGTTTGCGAGTCATGCCTTATTCACTGAGCCACTGTGGCTCCAAAATAAGATCTCTATAACTATGAAAATGTATCAATGACTTTCTGTAATTCAAGAAGAATGACCTGTGTCATATGGATGTACGTACATGTAGTTAATAGATTACCGGTTAACTAATGTGTATTCATCTTGAGATTGGGAGAAAATTTTGGTACCTTGGTGTAGTTTTTCTATTGTTGTTCGGGTCAATGCCAAAAGAGATAACGCCCCCCCCCCCCCTCATTCTACCACTCTATTATATTCATTTAAAGGGGATTCTCCTTTTTTTTCATTTATGTGTCATATTACTTTGAAATATTTAATATTTTCAAATTTTCCTTTCTTACCTTTCCTGTAGATTTTGGCCCCTTCCATATACAAAAGTATACAATGATCCATCCTAATAATAATATCAATACCAGCTGCCATCTCATATAACCTTGTTCATCTATACCACTAGATCTCTCCAATACATTCTCACTGTATCATTATAAAATATACATACTGTAGTTACAGTACATAACAAAATTACGGTGGGGGGAGGGGCAGTATGATTAAATATGCTTATTATACTGGCTGGTTAATGAAACTATTGAGAGAAGGATCAGATGCTTATGATGGGTATTGAAACTGTTGAGAGTGGGATAAGATGTTATATGCTGAAGTTCAGTATTGAAACCCTTGAGAGCAGGATTGGTCCAATGTTATATGCTTATTCTGAGAGTTGAAACCTATGAGAATAGATTCAGATGCTATGATATGCCAGTGTTGTGTTTTGAAACCATTGAGAGGAGGATATGGTCAAATGCTATAGCTGGGTGTTGCCATTGAGGAATAGGATAGGATCAAATAATATAATATGTCAGTGCTGTGTATTGAAACCATTCAGAGTATGATAGGATCAAATGCTATATAATGCCAGTGATGGGTATTGACATCATTCAGAGTAGGATAGGATCAAATGCTATAATATGCCAGTAATGGGTATTGAACCATTGATAATAGGATATGATCATAAGTTATATGCTTATGCTGGGTATTGAAACCATACACAGTAGGATAGGATCAAATGCTATACTTGTTCTGGTATTAAGATTATTGAGAGTAGGTCCATTTACATTCAAATACAAAAAATAATTTGGGTTTTCTTGCTAAACTTATGGAAGTATGAATCCTATCATCATATATCTATATATATATTTGTGACTGTCGTTTGTCTGTCTGTCTGTCTGTTCGGGGTTGGCGGGTACACTAGGTCTGCCCCGAGTCTGAAATTTGGGGTATAGGGGTCGCTCGGACTGGGGAGTAACATAGGGCATGTGGCGTTAGTCTACCACTTCCGGTTTCGGAGTTATGACCCCCGAGCGAAGCCGGTCTGTTCGGGGTTGGCAGATACACTAGGTCTGCCCCCGAGTCTGAAATTTGGGGTATAGGTGTAGCCCGGACCGGGGAGTAACATAGGCCAGGTGGCGTTATTCTACCACTTCCGGTTTCGGAGTTATGACCCCCCGAGCGAAGCCAGGTATCTGTCTGTCTGTTCGGGGTTGGCGGCTACACTAGGTCTGCCCTGAGTCTGAAATTTGGGGTATAGGGGTAGCTCGGACCGGGGAGTAACATAGGCAAGGTGGCGTTAGTCTAACACCTCCGGTTTCGGAGTTATGACCCCCGAGCGAAGCCGGGTATCCTGCTAGTATTTAATAAAATAATATGGTACTTTAGATGACCATAACGTCATTTGTATGAACTAAAATTTTATTTGCTATTCAGTCTGCAATAGTGTGCCTTCAAGTTAAAAACTTAATTTATGGTATATATATCAAACATGATTTAAGACATGTAAATGTTTTCCAACATACTTTACCTAGGCATCTATGTTCTGGCCAAGACTTTTTGTATCTAACACAGAACGACAAGAAAGAAGGCTAATTCTATCTTTTGATCATTTGTTCAATATGGGTTTATGTGCAATATTAATATTATGTATTACCCAATACCAAAATATAGATGGCCCAATCTGATTAACATACAGATCTATATTTCGTTTTGTTTCTTTATACTTTTTATGGCCTACACTACATGAAGATCTGACAAGTTGTACCCGAAGGTCGTGTCAGGGGTCGTACAAGTGGCTTTTGACCCCATGACGTCAGACATTGATTAATCAATCCGCGCATGACTTGCCAAGAAGTCGCCGTAACAGACTGTTTCGTTGGCTCATCCCCAACTTCAACCAAAATACATGTAATATAACATCTCTTCCAGATCATAGTGTAGTAAAGACAAGTAAAACAAAATTTTGAACTATAAAAAACAAAACGAAATAGGATCTGTGTTTTAATCAGATTGTAGATGGCCAGGTACCAAAACATATTTCAACCAGCAGTTTTGTTGCCTAGTCCGCAATAATTTTATAAAAATCCAATCCAAAGTTCAAATAATTTTTGTATTCAAAAGGTATAACAATTGGAGATATTGTCAGAATTACGACAAAACCCCTAAAAAACCCAACAGTTTTATAAACTGAACCATATCTCAAAAATTCAAAAAGATCGAACGTCAATTTTCATCTTTAAATTGTTAATAGTAAATTGTGGACAGATAGACGGACAGGGGGATATAAAACTATCAGTTACGTGCATCACTCTGGCCGATATTAGACTTTATGTTTGTTTTTTCCATTCTTATCTTTTAACTTTCACAGTACAGTAAACCCTAGCGGCATCTTTAAGAATTTTTGGGTTATCATCAAGCTGTTTTGGTGGGAATAATGTTAACTAATCACAGTGGCTTAGTCCTACATTTCTGCACTTGCTGGACTAAATGACTGATAAAGAATTTGAAGTAGTTAGAACTACATGTAGAGCCAACAATCCATCCAAAAATTAAAACCTTAACGAAATAAAAATCTAATTTTAATAATATTTTTGCATGACCATTATATCAATCAAGTTTTAGGTTTTTTTACCAGTTCTTTTTTTCTCATAAATACTCACAAACTCTCAACAAACCTTACATGTAAAAATCTTCCGTAGGTGAGTGGGTGTTATTTGGTCGAAGATATCCAAGACTTCTGGTGAGGTTGTATGAGGTATTGTTATCGACGGGACTTGTTCCATTGCCATTCATCAGATTCATACTTGTGTTAATGGCCGTACTGAAGATAGAACTGTTTCTGTTACTGCCATCCCAGCAAACTTCTGAATTCCAGGTATGATCACATGACTGCCAGGGTAATTTTGATTGGAAGGTATTAAACATGTAATAAAAGGCCCAAGTGATGATAACGATGTAGTACGTTGTAAACAGAAATGAAATGACGACAGTTGCCAACCCTGCACCTTTAAAATAAAAGTAAAAGATAGACATTATCATCTTGCAGGCAAGTGGTAATCTGATTATAATACAAATCTATATTTCGTTTTGTATTTTTATACTTTCGATGGCCTCTACTAAATGAAGATCTGGCCAGTTGTAGTGGGCGGTCACGTCAGGGGTCAAACGAGCGGCTTTTGACCCTATGACATCAGACATTTGATCAAGCAATCAGTGTTGATGTTTCTAGTAGAATACCCACAGTTCCGTGCATCACACGGCAAGAACTCACTGGAACATACCGTTTCATTGGCTAATCCCCCACATCAACCAGAATGCGGGTTATATAACAACTCTTCCAGATCCTAGCTTAGTAAAGACAAATTAAACAAAATCTTGAACTATAAACAACGAAACGAAATAGGATCTGTGTTTTTAAACAGATTAACGGAAGTGGGCTAAACCACACAAATTTGAACTGTTGTTCTTCAGGAAATGCTATAAAAATGTTGCTTTTATTTCATGGAAAAAGAAACAACAATTCAAAATCAAATAGTATTTGTTTGCTCTTCTCTAAGGCTGTTAGTTACAGAGTTTCACAGGACTCAAATGACTACATGTATCTATGAACACCCTGAAGAACTAAAAATATTTTAGTTAACACATTAATAATAAAATAAAATAGGTCAGTCAATTTCTCCTGATTATTTGGCAAAAATTAAAAATCTAAATTTTTTAAAATCAACTGTTATAAAAGTCAAAACAGTGAATCAGCAGATTTCTATCGGAGAAACCCTTTGTCATTGTTGATTCCACTAACTACGAGTTATTGCTATGCTATCATTGATCATCTTAATCGAGATCTAGTAAGTGTGGTATTTGTATTGAATTTCTAACTGTTAATATGCTGATTGTTGGTAACTCTTCAGCTATACAAATGGGATCTAAAAATATTAATAATGTGAGAAAAAATTCCCTTGGTAATTGGGAAGGTAATTACTTTACTAAATGTTGAATAATATATCTAAACTAACAAGAGAATATGTTTTATTGTAATAAATCCATTAATTGATGGATAACATTTATTTAGAATTTCTGTTTTAAAGGCGCTAATTCTCTCTTCTTTGACACAAATGGGTTGCAGAGAGAGAGAGAGAAATGGGGTTTAACGTCCACTCGACACAAACTAGGTCATTTCGGGACTAACATATGGTTTAATTTTATTTTAACACCTTGCTTGCGCGTAGGGGTCTTTAGCATTGGGAGGAAACCGGAGGACCCGGAGAAAACCCACAAGGTTTTCCTTGTACTCCTTGTCACGTACAACCAGGGATTCGAAACCACGCCAGTCGACTAAATGACAGACTTTATGATACAGCGCGCGCACGCTAACCATTCAGCCATCCAACCCCCACTGTTTTAAAGAAGCTATGTATATAGTATAAACTGATTAATATTCAACCGTTTCTGTATTTACTGTATTAGGAGTTTTGGGCATAGATAGGTTTTACCTCAAAATAATTTTATGATTATGTACTGTATTTTTTTATCAAAGAGGTACATTGGTAACAGCATTTAGTTTATCAATTTTACAAATGTGGGTTAAGAAATGGGTCAAACATGGAAAGTAGATTAAATCAGAAAAAAAATCGGAAGATCTGATAAGATAGATCAAAGAGGTTTAAATCTTTTAAGTTCACAGTTTAACAGAAAGAGCAGATGACTAGTGTACATGTATGATAAGATTAGGGGTCAACTTGACACTGAACTGAAGTACAGATCCCTAGATTTTTTTCACTGAATAAAACTGTTCAATTCTCTGTGGAAGAGAAAAATGGGCTTCAATGAAATGAAGTGGGGGTTAAACTGTTCTGCGCCGACTGGGCTAATGAAGACGGGCATACGCCGTACAGTGTTCTATGAGGGGAATTTTGCCTGGGCAGCAGCACTATGGCCTACTCTTATATTAAATTGCAACTGCCAGGGGATCTTTAACGTGCACACCAATGTATACACAGGTCCTTGGTTTTTCATCCTGCACCACTGACAAGGGGAAACCACGCCGGAAAATCCCGATGAACTTTCTCGGCCGATGCAGGGATTGAACACACGACCTCCAGTCTAGCGAGCCCTCGTCTTACCCACTTAGCCACCGCGGCTCCCAGGGGTTTAATGTTCACTTGACACAAACTATGCCATTTTGGGACTAACATGATTCAATCTTATTTCAATAATCTGCTTGCACTTAGGTCTGATTTTTTAGCAGTGGGGGGAAACTCGAACAAACCCATAACGTTGGACAGGCGACCCTACTTCTTGACACATACAATCGGGGAATCGAAACCACGCCACCTGATTCAATGACAGACCCCGCTGTGTGGTAGGCTTTTAGAAACCATTTATTCTAGTTCCCAACGCAACTATCTAAATGATATTTTTTCAAAGAAATACTGACATCCATTTGCCGAGTCAACCATACATAGTGGCAACTTCCTACATACTTGTTCTTTTTGTTGTGTTCCAATGTGTAAAAGAAATTTGCAGGTTGCTGTTGAGCTTTTATTATCTCTGTAAATGTTTCCAAACAGTATTGAATGGTGGTGTTTTTCACGTCACACAATGAAAAATTGGAGGCAAGTGCCCCAAATGAGTAAAGTAAACCCTATAAAATGTTTTATGTGATTTTTGGACAGCTAGGATCTTCAAAGCATGCAGACGAAGTTTGTACACTTACCTTTAAAGAAAGGACATAGTTTAGCCAATGCACCAACTGGACCCTGTCTTGTATACTGGCCAACTGCCATCTCCATATATGATAGCGGTACACCACATAGAAATAACATGATGAAAAACGGAATCAGAAATGCTCCTGCAAAAATAAACATATTAAGAGATCTTTTAAAGTGCCCATCTTTTAAAGTTCGCTATCCCTGCATCGTCTCAAAGCTTTTCGTCGAGAAGTCGACAAGGGTTGCCACATATTGATTCTTTTGTAAGTAATTGGCGCATTTAAAAGACATCGATATCATCTTCATCTAACGTACCTCTAGCATGTCCCAAAAGACATTGATATCATCTTCATCTAACGTACCTCTAGCGTGACCCAAAAGGAATTGTGGTTTACAAACAGATCATCTGCACATGTCAATACCCAAATTAACTCACAGACTGAGTGTTTAAATCCAGACCCAAATACAGAATCAGTGGACTACGATAGTGATGTTTGATTTCTGATTCACGGATTGCCTCCCTTGTCTATTTTTTTTCATTTATAGCGAAGCTTGTATCACTACAGACTCAGGACTCGACAGTGCAGTCGATGCTTAGCTTAAGATGATGCCACCCCGCTCTCCTGATTTAATGGTTCTTCTATTGTTCCTTCTAGCAATGTCTTGTGTTGTTAGTCCCATCCATCGGTTCGTCTTCTGGAATTTCATTTGAACTTTTGTTTTTCAGGAAAACCTATTAAAATTTTGCTTCTTATTTCTTTGGTGGGTGGTGGTGGGGAGGGGGTTATAATATAAAAACAAAAAGTGCTTGTTTACTGTTCTCAAATGATTTTACATGTACATGTAGTTCCACATTTTGGAGTTTTGAAATTTTACTATTTATTTATCAACACCTTGAAGAACTAAAAATCAATTTGCTTTAGCCTATAGGCTTTTAAATTTTACTTCAAAAGTTTGGAAACAGATGTCATTTAAGTATATTTATTTTAGAGTGTGTATTACATTCATTACAGCCAATGACATTTTACACCTTTCAACATAATGTTTTTATTAAATACAGGTTTTGTGGCTTTTAAATATAAACAGTTTGCTTTGACATTTAAATGTCATTTTGAATCCATGATCATCAGAGAGTATTGTTTGACTGTCCTGAAAGCAGCTAAAATCAAACCTAATAACAATGGCTCGAACCCTGAAACTTCATTGGTTCACAGGGTTAATTGAGGATTATGAAGGATATTTGTTGCTTAGATTGACAGGGTGTTTCGCGGATGAGGGGTCTAACATGTGCACAACTTTAGATCATAAGATCTGTTGATGAGCCAAGTTTTAGGGTTCCAATCACATGTTTGAATGTGACATGGAAATAGATCAACTGCCTAACCGTGTGAGTTTTCTGTGTCTTCCATTTTCCTTGTCGCAGAAAAAGACACAAACACGCTGACAAATTAATGAAATAAAGATATATTTCTAAACAAAGAAACATACTCCCACAGCTGCTAAGTTGTCCAAGCTATCCTAAAAGTTGTCACATATTTTTCTTTTGTTGGTAATGAAACCATTTACAAGACACTAAAAACTTATCAAGTAATTATTAGAATTTGTTCGGCCCATGTTAATGTTTAGTATACAGAACATCTAATATCACGAATTTAGCTACCGGTATTCAAGTTATCAGAAATCAATAGGGGTCTTCCTCTCATAACCTTAAACATACTACTTTACTGCATCAACTAGACTAATGAAGACAGGATAACTTTTGTCTCTAGTCTGTACACAAGATTTTTCAAAGCGATCAATGGCCATAGCCGTGGCAGTAATTATCGTAACTAGTTGAGAATAGGCTTTCTTGTCTCATAACCATAACACTTTGCCTCTAGATTGTCCACAAGATTTTTAAACTGATAAAGGGTCATAACTCTGACTGAAACTATTTTCCAAAGCGAATAAGATGTTTTGACAGTTGAATTTTGTTTACTGTGGCTTCATGTTAAAATATTTCAGCATGGCCAACAAGACATTATTTATTCTAATTACGTACTTTATACTATCACTATGGGTCAGAAATGTAAGAATGAGTTGCTTTGATATGCATAAAAGTAAATTGAAATTTCTTGTCAAAATGTTAGATTTTTTTAGAATTATATTATTTCGCATACACATGTCTTTGTCATTGGGTACAATTTTTGTGCCCCGATTATGACAATAAAACATTATGAGACTATGACCTGGTATCAACATGTATAGAAATGTCCTTTTTAAATGTTTCAGTGAGCTGCTTGTAACTATATTAATTTTTTCCTAAATCAGCAGGCAGCTCTAGTTGCTCAATAAGTAAGCCACGGGCTCACTTACCAGGAGGTTCGATGGTTCGAACCCAGTATTGGCCGAGAATGTTCCTCAGGATTGTCCAGCATAATTTCTCCTACACAGTGGTGTAAGATGGAGGACCTGGCAAGGAAAAGCATCTATTATTCGGATGGGGTGTTAAACTAAGGTCCCATGTACTCATTGACGACTTGGCATGCACATAGAAGAAACTTTGGCAGTAGAAATTCAATGAATAATAGCTCGAAATGCTGCTGTATGAGCAAAATTTCCTCCATAGCACACTGCATGGTGTATGCCCTATCTTCATAAACCTGGTTGGTATTGAAAAGTATGACATTAACCTCACTTCATTCATTTCATTTCCAAAATCAGCACAATTTCCTTAACATAGTTGGCAAAAAATGTTCAGTAAAAATATTCAATAAATTTGACTTACCTCCACCACTCCTGTAGCATAAATAAGGAAATCGCCAGACATTTCCAAGTCCTACAGCATATCCAATAACAGCTAAAATATATTCTACTTTTTTACTCCAATTAGCTCTTAGTTCCATTTTGTCTAAATTCTAAAAAATAACCTGAAACTGAAAGGAAAAAGTTTCTATTAGAAACAAAAAATGTGTATTAAGACAATCTGTTGATATTGACGTAAGCAGAGAGAAGACTGTTAACCAAAATATGTAACACAAAAACTGTGTGTTTAGATAATCTCTTGATGTCAAGTAATTCTACAGAAAACCAAAACTGCTGCTAACCAAAATCATGTAAGACAAAAATTGTTGTGCATCCTCCGTTGATTGTGATTAGAGCAATATATACAAGGATAATTAACTGGCAGAGGTTTCCATACATGAAATACCGAACACTGTTAATTTTATTATACCCGACAGTTTACATCAAGACATGCACAAAGTTTCGTTGTATCCGGGGATTTTATGATTTAGCATAAATTATGCTATTTTTCCGGCTTGCAAAATGACCTACGGGTCTGATCCAGTTTCGGTCATTTTCCAAAGCCCTCGCATTGAACCCATGTTTAGACAATCTGCTGATGTGCATTAGTGCTGCCACGCATATTGAATTGCGAAACGCTGAATCTGTATCACACAATTTTTTTTTATGGTTTTTTTTTTCTTGCTTCAGTAAGTAACCTGTCACTTTTAATTATCCACCTCACACATTATCCATAGATACACAAACACTCTTAAATTGTTTCAGTTCTTATTTTGATCCACATCAATACCATGATATAAAACAGTTTTATTCTTTGACATCGGCAGGACTAAAAATATCAGTTATTAATTTATCCTGTTGGGTTTTTTTGGTAAATATTGACCTGGTTTTGAATCATGATACAAATTATATTGTAGCACCTGAATTGCAATATTATTGAATTGTGACTGCAATGGCAATACACAGCACTAATGTTTATGTAAGTAGATAAAAAACCAAAATTACTGTTAACCAAAACATATGTAAGACAAAAAATGTGTGTTTAGATAATCAGATTTTAAAACAATTCTATATGGACTTCAGTAATCAAACATTAAGGGTACTCTCGACTAGAATGCCAAGAGTTTTAAAGTCCTGGGGGCTGTTTCACAAAATTTTAACTAAGATAAAATCTACATTTTAGTAGATACTTCAATTTTGATTGGCTAAGCACTAAAATCAATCTAATATTATCCAATCAAATTACTCAAATTTGGATTTTATCTATGTTAAAATTTCGTGAAACAGGCCCCTGTTTTCATTTGTAGCAAGAACTCCTGGTTACCGAGCCAATGTCTTACTCGCTGAATAACCATGATTAAAAGTTGCCACTAACAAAATAAAAAGCTTGATAAAGCCTTAATAAACAACCTGTATTGCTCTATTGAATCCCATTACTTCAATAATGAGTCTGTATACGAAAAGGGGGGATTGGGTGGCCGAATAGTAAAAGCATGTGCGTTGGATCACAAGGTCTCATGGTTTCTATTCTCTGCTTGTACGTAACAAGGAGTAGGGTCGCCTGTCCAACCTTATTAGAAATTGTTGAAAATCAAAAGGCTTCTTCGTTGCATGACCACAACCACTGTGTGTACATTTAAAGTCAATCAGATATTAACTTTAGTCTATAGAGCATCTACAATATTTTTCAAAGTGATCAAGGGCCACAACTCTGACTGTAATTATCGGAAACTGTTGAAAAACAATAGACTTATTTGTCTCATGAACGTTAACACTGTGTATCAATGCAAAAGTCAATCAGATATTAACTTTTAGCCTCTAGAGCGTCCACAAGATTTTTCAAAGTAATCTCGGGCCATAACTCTTGACAGTATAACTATTGGAAATTGTTGAAAACAAAAGAGGTATCTTCATCTCATGACCGTCAACACTGTGGATAAATTCAAAGTTAATCGGATATTACCTTTGGCCTCTAGAGTGTGGACAGCAGACGACGGGTCACTGGCAATATACAATTAGCTTTCAATGTGGGTGCATAAAAATGACACAGTTCTGGAAAGAGAGAGAGAGAGAGAGAAATGGGGTTTAACGTCCACTCGACAGAAACTAGGTAATTTCGGGACTAACATATGGTTTAATTTTATTTCAATAATTCACTTGCGCATAGGGGTCTTTAGCAGTGGGAGGAAACCGGAGGACCTGGAGAAAACCCACGAGGTTGGACAGGCGACCCTACTCCTTGTCACGTACAACCGGGGATTCGAAACCACGCCAGTTGACTCAATGACAGGCCTTATGATACAGTGCGCAGTGCTAACCATTCGGCCATCCACCCCCCCCGTTCTGGAAAGAAAACCTGTGTATATACATGAAGTCTTTTCACACATTGTTCAGCCTAATATGTTCGTATACAATTCAAATACATTAGACTACAATAGCAAAACACACAGGAGCTGATTAGGAATCTGCTGAAAAATATAATGTCCTAAATCTGACGAGAAAATAATAAGTGAGGTGCATGGAAAGGTGAAACAAGCTAGTTTCGTTTTCTAGTCATGTCTCATATTCTTCACAATGAATGGTCTGATAGAATACATAACTCTTATTTATTAAAAAGATATTTTAATACTGGACAACATATTTACAGGTACATGGTTGGGTGAAGTTACGTCTAGCTATAGCTGCTTCCCTCACAGGACCCCTCTGCCCGGTGTCGAGGGCAGACCCTCTCCCGAGGTCCGGGAGACCTCTCAGCCTCTACTGGTCTCTCTTGTCCCTCCTTTGTGCTTTTTTTTGCCTGCTTGTAAACTAGGCTTTTTATATCGGTTAAGGCACGCCATAGTTAATACCATTCGTAATCAGAACAATGAAAAGTAATTATTAAGATTCACACATCTTAGCTCAAGACAAAAGGTGTCAATACGTGTTAAGCCTGAATCTTATATCATATAGACACTCCAAGTATACATGTTTGTACAATCCATTAAATCTTACATAATATTATTTCAACAACCTACACCTGATATAGATTAAATCTTACAATTAATCTGTCACTTAATATATGTCTAAAATTGAGTTACAAATAAAATATGAATTAAGAATACAATATTGAAATTTAGATCCCAAATGATATTGTATTACAATGGGGGACCAAGGAAACCAGTTAGAGGGTCAAAAGTTACCCAGTCCTTCCCTGAATATACATACATGTAACAACTTGTTACAATTCAGCTTGACCCTTTAGCACTTGGTAAATACTGACTATCCCAGTTCTATGAGAGAAAGTGGCCTTTTTTTGTATCGAGTTTTATAGTTCATTTTTAATACCACCCGAAACTACACTGCTCCCTAGGTCTACTAAGTCACCAGAACAGTATACAGTAAATAAAGAGGCATTATGCAAGAGCTAAATCTGCCTATTTGCAGGTCTTTCTTTAGGTCTTAAATGTTATGACCTCTAGAGTGTCCACAACATTAATATACCATATTTTTACGCTATTTTGTCTGTCAGTTTTGGGCTGATTTTTACGAAATTCGAACTCAACCATCCTTTGGGTGTAACGGTAATATACTAAAACATTTTTTTAAATCGGATAAGAATTATGACCTCTATAGGGTCCAAAAGCTAAAAACACAATTTTTCGTACAATCAGGGGACATAATTCAGGAAGTTATAATCCGATATGCGCAAATATCGAAAGGAACTGAGATCTTTGGGTTATTAACTTCCATTTCAAGTTTCAACAAAATCAGATAAAAATTGTGACCTCTATAGGGTCACACATTTCATATTATGCAGGAAAGAATCTTTAAACCTTATCTCAAATATATATATATATATTACTGGGGAAATAGCTTTTGGGGAAGTTTCATTGCTTACATTATTTCAATACTAAAGAAAATATAATACTGAATCATAATACTTGACAAGTTCATTGTTCAGCTTGACAATTTTAGCACCAACCACTGTCATATTTTGACACGGTCAATGACTTTGACTCAATATCTTGTTTTAGTTACAAAAACGCACCTTTAGCCTTGACATTATTGTAAGTGAAATGGTTATAGATATACATAAACTAGAACTAATAATACTGTTCATTATTAATCATGCATTAAGCAAAAGCTAAATCGGCCTATTTCAGGTCTTTCTTTAGGTCTGAAATTTTATCTAAATTATTCCTTAGACATTAATTAACTTACCAATATCATAATCAACTCTGTGATATTTAGAGGATTTGAATACGTTTTGTGGTGGATGAAATAACCATAAAAATTACTGTAACAACAGTAGTAATGAAGATCAAGGCTAACCTAAAATTGAATTGCTAATATCTAGATTCAGAGTAAAGAAATTTGACTGAAATTTTCAGCATATTCTCTTTTCATAATCTATCTTTTAACTAGGGAGAGAACTGTTAGCTCTTTATCTAATCTTACCTAATGTCCCTAATATTAATTTAAAAAGAAAATCAAAGATTTAATTATTAATGTCGGTCAACTAGCTTAGTGTCTGTTCTGACTCAAGTGTAGCTAACTGTAGACAGACAACCAAAGTTTAAATTGTAATCTTTCCTGACTTCCTCCACAAAAATCATGATGGGCTAACTTAGAGCCCCCAATTCGGCCAAATGTATTCCAACAGGTAACCGGTAGCCCCAAATTGTCATAAATATTCGATGTTTTATCAATAGATATCAAACCATAATACCTGACAAGGATCATACACCTGCCCGTCTTTGTGGGCTAATTTTCTCCTGTGCATGTGAAATATTGTAAACAATGACTGGACAAAATCTTGATTTGTTATTACGACTAGTGCTGTGCCAAGCTATATTTATGATTAAGCTATTTTTTCAAAAGATAACACTGATAGGATGTTGGCTTGTATACTATTTTAAGATTTTAAAATCAGTTGGCATTCTTAAAGAAATTTCAGAATCTATCTACCATACCAATTATTTCTAATACTATGAGCTTACCTGGACAACAGTCCTTTTCACTGCACATGTGCACATGCAATATGAGCGATACAAGTGAAAGAAAGATTCTTAAATCTAGTTGTTAATCCCCTCACTACCCAGTACGACACAAACACATCTACTATTGAAACAAGAAATAACAATCATTGACATATATATATGTTAGACAAGGTGTAAGGTTTGAAGTCTGCACGTGATTCTTGTAGATTTTATAATAAAGAATATTTATCTAGTGTCATTTAGCTCTTTTAAAGGTAATCATATTTATCGAACGCATTATTAAACCGCCATGGAGTACCCTAGAATCAATACATTCCACAATATATATATATATATCCTACAGGTAAATAATAATTTTATAGATAATATTCTCAAATGTCTATCTACGGATTAGAATAATACTTCATAAGTCTCTGTTCTCCTTCATGCAAGCCTCAAACAATAATGTCTTTATCGACAGACTTCATGAATTGTCATCTTTACACAATTAGACCTGTCGCCATGACTCAGCAAGAATTTTTATTGATTCCAGATTCAAGACAAATAAATTAATTCTAAGGTAGGATTTAGTTACTTGGTTTATAGGGGAGAAATAACATAGTACATTAATTGTTTTATAAATCTGTCAAAACTGTTTCTTTGGTGTAAAAAAGCTTTTCAAGAGTTTCTATTGATTTAAGATGAATAAATTAATTAAAGATGCATTATGGGAGATGAGATAACGAGTTGGCAGTTCTCACTATAATAGTTAAAAACTACATAATGTAAAGGCAACTTGCTGAAAATTTCAGTCAAATTGATCCACTATGAGCCGAGAACCAAGCGGATGAAAGTTCCGCTTAGCCTCGATCATCATTACTGAAGTCGATAAGACAAAACTAATAGTCTTGATTATCCATTTAAATGTTAATCACGAAGGAAAGTTTTGCAGCAAATTGGACTGCAATCCAACAAATATCGCAGGCAATCCTTGACATCGAGAGCTGATTATGGTCTGGATAAGGTAATTAATGTCTAATTAATAGTTTTTATAACATTTCAGGCCTAAAGAAAGACCCGAAATAGGCAGATTTAGCTCTTGCATAATGCATGTTTAAGTCTGTGATTTCATGGCTTATGTACAGGAGAAAAAAGGCGTTTTTTTTTTATAAATCAGTCAAATTTTTTTCTTTTGTGTAAAAGGGAGCCTCTGTGGTTAAGTGAGTATGACGATGGCTCACAAGCCTTGTGGTCGCGCGTTTGCTCTCGGTGTTGGCCGAGAAAGTTCATCAGGATTTCCCGGTGTAGTTTCTCCCTTGTCAGCAACAAATCAACAAAAAATATGAATTCAAGTGAATGGAACCAGGGGCCAGCCGTAAGCATCCGCTGCACTGTACAGTCTTGGCGTGAATTGATACAGGCTTCACTCAAAATTAAAAAAAAAAATGATTTATAAGAAAAAGGAATAAAGCAACCGATCTTGATGGTTGCCATCTCTTGAATGGCGATAGTCTGCTAGTTGAAACGTCAAACAATTTCAACAGTAAAGGTGAAAATCAGAAACACTAAAAAAATAATGTTGTGAGCAAACAAGTAAAGCCCATCAACAAGAACATCTTTGAAAATGCTAAAAAAAAAATAATAATGTGTTCCGAGCAAACAGGCAGGCATAAAGCCCAACAATGAGAATATCTTTGACCCACTAAACAATGAAAAATACAAGCACTGGTTGTTCGGAGTAACTCAAGTGTAACGTAAACAACTTGTAATGAATTTTGAATTGATTGTACTGCAGCGATCGATTGTGGGATTTTTTTAGATTTTGCATTCAACTTATTTAAAGTAACTAAGTCTCTAACTCAATAGACATTGAAAACACAAATTATTTGTCAATTTAAATCAACATTGATGTTGTGATCTTACCAGTAAAAGATGGGCTTCTGATATCCAATATTTAAGACAAAAAAAAACATTTTACCATTGGTACACGAATCATGTACCATAATGCGTTTCAGCGCCATTTGTAATAAGTGACTCGAAAAAAGAGGCTAGGCAATTTCACAAGTCATGTCAAACGGTGATGCCATATTC